CGGTAAAAGAACCTGGACTCCTTTTCTCCATCCCTACCTGTTACCAGACCTGGATAATTCATAATAGCTTGAAAAGATAATATAGGAATGCTTTCCAGGTTTATTAATAGTAATAGTTAACACATTTATGGGGTGCTTACTGGGGCAGATATCTTTGCTCACATGTTTTTCATACACCACCTTCTCTAATACTACCGTCTGATGAAGTATACCCCGTATTTTTCCATGTCTGAGATGCCCCCATGTAAAAGATGCCCTTACTTTTCCAACCCAAAATTAAGAAATCAGTATTTTAAACATAAAGCAGAACACATTCTTATTTAGTCATTACCACAGGTAATGTTTACATACCAATTTTGTGATATTATGCAGCATGTCACTTTATTCAGCCTCTGTTGCATCACTGCTCTCTTCTTCATCACTATTAGTTCCAGACATATCAGTTTCTTCAACATATCAATTTCTTCTTATTGTATCACTGCTATTCTGAGTCACTATCTGTGTATGTGAGATCATCCTCTTAAACTGGTGGCATTTTCTCCCATCCAAGTACTAACCAGGCCCGACCCTGCTTAGCTTCCGAGATCAGACGAGATCGGGCGCGTTCAGGGTGGTATGGCCGTAGACACTGGTGGCATTTTCTGAAGTAACTTTATTCGTTTTCTCATGGCCAACCCTTCCCTTCTCAAGAAATTGAAGCACCGTTTGCCTTTCCTGTAAAATCAATATTCATTTCGCTTGCAAACATTCTTGCCTGACATTGAATAAGCTTGACTGACACACATAAGCCACTTTGGCACTGCTCCATAATCCAAGTCTTAAGCCTCTGCTCCAAGTTTGCCCATTTTGCTGGTTTTCCTTTTTTAGCAGCTTAAGGAGTTGTAGTTCCTGTTTTCTCCACTGTCTGATCATTGTAGTTCCTGTTTTTTCCACTTTCTCCTCCTCCTCAGTGGGAGGAGATCCATATTGTCTCTCTGCAGCTCTATTTCCATGCTCTTCTGCATAGCTGATTACATTTAGTTTGAATTTTGTAGAGTTAGACAATCACTTACTGGTATTTATATTTTTTGTTTTTTGACATCTTTATGGGCTCAGAATGCTCTGGTCCCTGTTGCATCTACCCACCCTCCATCTTCAACTCCAATTATGGCATCAGCTGACATCAGTAATAATAAGGCTCGTGATTGGAGGAAGACTTTTTGACAACGTATGGGCAATTATGTATCTATACGGCTCCCTTCTCGGCTGACTTCTGTGTATAAGATGCCCCCTCATTTTCAGTCTAACAATTTTAGAAAAAAATAGTGTCTTATACACAGAAAAAATATGGTACTATCATCCCAATTTAACAAATGGGTTGGGGGGTGGGGTAGACACAGAATGAAGTTCAGTGAGATGAATTAAATTTTCAAGGCCACACAACTAATTAAGACAGCCAAAATTTGAATCCAGTGTAACTTTAGAGCCCATTCTCTATTCACCACACCACCAATGAGTATTACCTGGCCATAACTGAAACCCAAATAACAGCATGTACTTTGAAATCACCTAGACATAAGTTCAAAATCTATATCTGGTGGTGAATAACTTCACTTCTCTGATCTTCGGTTTCCCTATAATGTAAAAATGGCAGTCCTTGTCTTATAAAGGGTTGTTGCCTTCCTAAGTGTATTGTATTTCTACACTTCTGTTCATGTGAGCTCTGAGATAATGTTTTGTGCAGAATAAGGCCTGGTATAAGAAGACAGATAAGCATCCTCTCTCTTCTGTGTAGTATGACCATATCAACCAGTGCCTGCCCTCCAGGATCTCCCAAGTGTTTTATGGTTATGATCGCATTTATTCTCTTATGAGAAGAGTGTATTTTGAGTATTTCATAGTTGTTAATTGCCCATAAATATACAATAGTATAATAAAGATTAGAATCAATAATCTGTTTACTATACTAAACTTCTCTTTTGCTAATTCTTAAGTAACATATGAAACTTTGGGGGTTGTTATTTAGTCTATAAAATAATTGTCCCCAGGATTTCATAACATAGACCTGTTAGTGCCATTCAACAAAGAAAACTATAAAACACAGCTGCTGTTTTGGTGTCGTTTGTGGTTTTGTTTTGTTTTTATTTGAACTTTTTGTGCAGGCAGGTCATCATTTAAAAGTAGTCATGTCATTTGGCATTATCCCTTGCATTCATTAAATTTCTTGTATGTTTTAAAAAGCTTAGCCTAGCCGAGACCGGTTTGGCTCAATGGATGGAGCGTCGGCTTGGGGACTGAAGGGTCCTGGGTTTGATTCCGATCAATGGCATGTACTTTGGTTGCGGGCATATCCCCAGAAGGGGTGTGCAAGAGGCAGCTGATCGATGACTCTCTCTCATCGATGTTTCTAACTCTCTATCTCTCCCTTCCTCTCTGTACAAAATCAATAAAATATATTTAAAATATATTTTAAATAAATAAATAAATAAATAAATAAATAAATAAATAGCTTAGCCTAGTCACTTCTAAAATTATACCCACAGATCCATCTGGGTTGGGGTTTTTTTGTTTTTTTTACTAGTCAATGAATTTTCTTTGAAAAATATAAGAAATAGGAGATCTGTATTTTAAATTCTATAACTTTGGTTGATCTCCTATAAATTTGAAAAATATTTTTAACTGTTAAAATATAATTGTATATTTTTTTCATCTTTTTATTAAGGTATTATATGTGTACATATCTTACCATTGTGCCCCTCTCCCCCCCACTCCACTACATACCCTCACCCCCCAGAGTTTTTCGTCCATGTTATGCTTATATGCATGCATTCAACTCTTTTGGTTGATCTCTTATCTCCCTAATTGTATATTCTTGGTTGTCTCTCAATTTTTATATTTTCAGAGGCAGGGTAAAGCTTGAAATTTCTTCTGTTTCTACTCCTCACCTCTTTCATACGTTAAAACTCTGAAGCATACCATAAACACTTGTTTGCAACTGAGAACTGGTATAGCAGAAATGGCTGCCCAAAATAGGCCTGTTGCTCTCTCTAGCCACACTGAGGTGAAAGATACATTGTGGGAGGCAAACTTAGATGCAGGGAAACCACTTAGGCCTTTGCAGTGTTCCAGACAAGAAATAGTAGTGGCCTGACCCAAGGTACTAGAAGTGTTAGTGAAGGAGTGTAGACAGATCAGGAGATAGAATTAACGGAAGTTGTTGATGGCTTAGATGTTGATAGGTATGACATAGAGGAGTCAGCGATAGATTTCTGGAATAGATGCAACATGCTCCTCACCTCTTACTGTGTTTGCTCGGTATCTGCGTATCCTTTAAAAATTCAGTTTATATGTTACCTCCTGTGAAAGCCTCCTTACCCCAACTTCTATTGAGTCAAGTGACAACTGTGAGCTTTTATAGCATTTTCCACAAGAGCATGTTTTTCTGTTTTGTATCTGTGAATTTAATTACCCCAAAACTCAACATACACATAATCTTCCCACTCTTAATTTTGTCTTGTGAGAGGAAGGGATATGTGTCTTGCTCATCGCCACATTCCCAGCACCTAACATGGTTCTGGGGACCGCACCAATACATTTTTAGTGAATAAACCAAGTGTCATTTATAGCTATTGTCCCCAGTGCTTGTAGTAATCAAATATAGTAAGTTATCTGGACCTTTGAATCATTTCTCCAGTATTTCTTTTTTTTCCCCTAATGTTTCTCACTTTGCCTTTTTTTTTATACCTTCGCAGTTTAGCTCACTGAATAAAATAGAAAAATAAATACAAACAAGAAATAAATTTGTGCTCTCTGGTTTTGACAGTATCTTCCAAAAGATCCCTTCAAGATTGTTGACATCTAAAAAATTAGGGCTTTAAATCATGTTAATAATTAATATTTTTAAGTGTAATAAATGCTTGCCCTAGCTGGTTTGGCTCTGTGGATAGAGCATCAGCCTGCAGACTGAAGGGTCCTGGGTTTGATTCCGGTCAAGGACACATGCCTGGATTGAGGGCTTGATCCCCAGTGGGGGGTGTGGAGAAGGCAGCCAATCAATGATTCTCTCTCATCATTGATGTTTCTATCTCTCTTTCCCTTCCTCTCTGAAATAAATAAGAATAAACAAATAAATAAAATATTACAAGTGCTTAATAAGATTGGAACATTGTACTGACAAAGAAAGTCAGTGGGTCTCCTTTATGTGTAGATCATTTCAATCAGAGGTATTAGGACTAGGTTATTTGATAAAATGGATGGATCATTGTCAGTTGGTCACATCTCAAGGAAAATGCATTGATGGCACTTTATATTAGAATGACCATATACCCAAAATACTTTAAAAACAGAATGGTCCAAGATATCACTTAAAAAGTAATCAGTACACAAAAGGAACTTACAAAGATTGATTTAAGAAAGAAGAAAAGATTAAGCTATATAATTTCTCATTACCACAGGATAGAGGTTGGGGAGAAAAGTAAAAGATTTTACTTCCCTAAGCATTTGCTTTACTCATCTGTAGAATGAGAGCAGTTGGCCTATGATAAAGGCTCCTTCTGCTCAGTAAAATAGAAGAGAATGGTAAAGGTGATGGGTGATGGAAATTTTGGTTTCAATTACAACTTAATACATTCTTCCCATAGTCTCATTTCTGTCTGGATAAGACCTGATTGTTAAAAATTCATTCATATGAAATGTTTTTTATTGAATGACTTTATTAAATATAATGAAAAACAAGTGATTTTTTTTTTCTAATTTCTGTTTTGCAATCAATTCTATCAGCCTAATTTGGAGCAACAGTCTCCATCAAAATATTTAAGATGAATTATTATTACTTATCCTAATTAATTCAAAATATGGAAAATGAGTTTTTACACTTAATAATGCCATGAATCTGTTCTTCTATAGTTGTTTCTCTTTTAACATCTGTTTTCTTTCTTTGGTTTAGATTTCTGCTTTGGGACAGCCACACATCTAATTCCTTAAAGTAGTTTTATATGTAAAACTTGTAAAGGCTCAGAACAATGCCTCCAAGACCATCATCAGGTGAACTGTGGGGCATCCACTTGATGCCCCCAAGAATCCTAGTAGAATGTTTACTACCAAATGGAATGATAGTGACTTTAGAATGCCTCCGTGAGGCTACATTAGTAACTATAAAACATGAACTATTTAAAGAAGCAAGAAAGTACCCTCTCCATCAACTTCTTCAAGATGAATCTTCTTACATTTTCGTAAGTGTTACTCAAGAAGCAGAAAGGGAAGAATTTTTTGATGAAACAAGACGGCTATGTGACCTTCGGCTCTTTCAACCCTTTTTAAAAGTAATTGAGCCAGTAGGCAACCGTGAAGAAAAGATCCTCAATCGAGAAATTGGTATGAGAAAATTTTTGACTAAATGTCATTGTCATCCTATTCTAATAATGCAAATAACTGTGCAACTTTATTTTCTTTTCACTGAAATATTTGTTTGAACCAGTTAATTACCTTTGTAATCTTAAATAAATTTTTAAATAAGAATCATTGCAAATCTAAAGTATTTTTTGACTATTGGACTAAGAACTACTTTTAACACCTTGGTATTTTTTATAAAGTTTTCTTTAAGAAGTATGATTTGTATGGTTGACTTAGATTTGTTATAGCCCATTTTTGTTTTATTATTCTCTAAAAAATAATTGATATGGATAATGTTTGCTACCTTTGCTCCAAGTTGCTAAATATAATGTTTATTAAAAGTATTTGAGTCCTTGTCAACTCTCACTGTATGTGTCCATCCAAAATTTTAAACCCAGAGAAACGTCTTTATTCTAGATATTGTGATCTTCCAAATCTATCAAGTTTTCTAAGAAACATGTTTATACTGTGTATTAATGGAATATTACTTTCTTTCTATAAATTTTTAAGGCTTTGCTATCGGCATGCCAGTGTGTGAATTTGACATGGTTAAAGATCCAGAAGTACAGGACTTCCGAAGAAATATTCTGAATGTTTGTAAAGAAGCTGTGGATCTTAGGGATCTTAATTCACCTCACAGTAGAGCAATGTATGTTTATCCTCCAAATGTAGAATCTTCACCAGAATTGCCAAAACACATTTATAATAAATTAGATAAAGGTAAGAAAATTTGCAGTCTATCATAATTGGTTACTGTAATGAAAACTTCTATTGTGTTTATATTTTTAAAATATTTTTTATTTCAGATGATAAGCTTCTTGAAATCATATACTGCTTATACTGACAAGATATAGTTGAGTGCCAAGTACACAACTTGTGTACAAATAAATACTTATTAATTGAACGAATTGTGTGCATATGGTGCTGAGCCTTTGGTGAATTGTTTATTCAGAATAAAACTAAAGAAGTTTGAGTTTGACATTCCTTGCTATAGAATTATAGCTGATTATCATTTACATGTAAAAACAAGTATAAATAGACACACATTTTATGCAATTTTAGGAAAACTTTACATCGTCTTGATACATATCATATATTCAAAAAAATTTTCTTAATGTTAGATTTAATAAATCTGATCATAATGAGGTTGACTTTTGATTTTAATATATTGATTTCTAGATTTAAATAAGCATGAAAAACATAAACTATATTGTGTGGTTTTTTTTTTTAAATGAAAATATATCAGATATATTTCTGTATTTTTCAATATAAGAAAGTGAAGTTTGTTTATTTTTAATCCTCACCTGCGAACATGCTTATTGATTTTAGAGAGAGGAGGAGGTGTTGAGGTTGGAGAGAGAAACATCTGTCAGCTGCCTTCCGATACATACCCTGACAGGGAATTGAAGCCCAACCTTTTGGTGTATGGGAGAATTCTCCAACCAACTGAGCCACACTGGCCAGGGTCAAAGTGAAGTTTTTAATTCGAAGTCATAGAATAGGTTAACTCTCACACACTAATAAATATAAAGTTCTATTAGTAAAATAAGTTTTAACATCTTATTACTATTTTGCCCATATTATTCAAAGTAGTTTAATGCAATATAACGTAACATTTTATTTGAAATTCTTTTCTACTCCAGTATATTTTTTTAAATGGAACAATCACTCTTTTACTTTTAACCAGTCTTTATGAAAAATTTCCAACATATAAGATAGTTGAAAAATTATTCTATGAATACCCAGGCCATTCTGACAGTTTTAATCTTTCTAGCTTATCATCCTTTTTTTTTTTTTTTTTTTTTTTTTTAAATCCTCTGGTTTAATTGATCTTGAAAGAAAGAAGAAGAAGAAAAAAAAGAAGAAAATCCATCTTATTTTCCCTCCTCCCCCATTTTTTCTCTCATGATGATTTATCATCTTTCTTTAAGTCACCATGATTCTTTCCCATAGTTACCAAAAAACCCTCTCACTTCTGAACCTTTTGTATGCCATCATGAGGCACTCTTCACAGAGGTTGTATCTATAAAGTATACCAGGCAGTTTTGAATGGAATTATATTGGTCTCAGGTACTTAGGACCCACCAGTCAGTTTTGCATGCTTGCCATAAAACATGAGATTTGGACATAGCCTGGCATTCCTGATTTGAAGATTTACCTGCATGTAGTTAGATTATAAGTCATTTGTGATCATGGTTACAAGAATGGTAGTGCACGCTTTTTGAAGTTTGTCTCTTGAAAAATGAAATATATATGATGATTACATCTAATAATGTTTTCCTCTTATAGGGCAAATAATAGTGGTGATTTGGGTAATAGTTTCTCCAAATAATGACAAGCAAAAGTATACTCTGAAAATCAACCATGATTATGTGCCAGAACAAGTAATTGCTGAAGCAATCAGGAAAAAAACTCGAAGTATGTTGCTATCATCTGAACAACTAAAACTTTGTGTTCTAGAATATCAGGGCAAATATATTTTAAAAGTGTGTGGATGTGATGAATACTTCCTAGAAAAATATCCTCTGAGTCAATATAAGGTTAGTAACAAGTTTCAAAAATATTAATTTTAAATTTAAAAAGTAATCACATTGGGGACTAGTTGTCTGCATTTTTAGAATATACTTTTTGAGAAATAAATAATATTAAGTAATATTCACAAGTTTATTTTTATGTAATAAATTAATTTGAGAGGTTGATGATAAATTAAATTTGAAATAACAGATGCTATTCTTTAAATTTTATGTAATAATATTTGGGGATCTGATTATATATGTGGATAAGCTGATTAACGGTTTTGCAATTGTAACAATAGTTGTATCATTATTCAGATACAAACATTTGATTTGGTGACTGTTTAATTGTGCTTTAAGGTAAGTACAATGTTTCAGGTATTCTGCATGCAAAAAAATGCATCATATGCTTTTCTAGACAGCTCCTTTTCTCTAGTGGAAATACTTTTATTAGCCAGTAAGAATTTTAAATAACATGAAGCTTGCACAGGGCTTTTCATGTGTCTTCTTTTTTCTTTTTTTTGTTTTTTAAAGGGGTTTATTATATTCATTTGAATATGCAAGAAAGCAATAACATAAATCTCCCCTTGTCAAAAAAGACAAATAAATATAAAAACATTAGCAGTTACACTAACCCCGAAATATGGGGTATTTTATCTCCTTCCAAGCAATGACACTAGCAGTAATTAAACATTTCAAAAAAAAAAAAATCTATGACTTGTTAGTTCTGTTAAGATATACTATTAGCCAAAACCGGTTTGGCTCAGTGGTAGAGCGTCGGTCTGCAGACTGAAAGGTCCCAGGTTCGATTCTGGTCAAAGGCATGTACATTGGTTGCGGGCACGTACCCAATGGGGGGTGTGCAAGAGGCGGCTGGTCGATGTTTCTCTCTCATCGACGTTTCTAGCTCTCTTATCTCTCTTCCTTCCTCTCTGTGAAAAAATCAATAAAATATATATATTTTTTTAAAAAAAGCAAGTGTATTTACTATATAAAAAAAAGATATACTATTAATATTACCCTACTCTCTATTCTGTTTAATAAATATTTATAAGAAGCAACTATACTTGTACCAAGTGTATGCTAAGTACTGATTTACAATATCAAGCAAGACATGGTTCTGGCCTTCAGATTGCTTATAGTTTAATGGATTATGGGTAAGAAAATAGGCTATTATAATATGTACACAGTAGCATTTCTATTTGAAATTTCTATCCTAATTACCACTTCCTGGATCAAACAATGTGTTTTAATATATTTTTAAATGCACCCTATATTTTTATCAGTCTCTTCTTTGTTTTGTTTTGTACATTTTAGCAAAACAAATGTTTCTCAAGAAATGTTGCAACTAAAGAGCAAGGGGCAGTAACCCTTGGATTGGACATCAATATGACTTAATATATAGAATGATAGAAGCTTACTAAATGATGTTGCTTTTCCTTTAACAAGTATAGTGTTTTCATAATGAGTAACCTCTGATCCTTGTTTGTAATTTTTTTCCCTTACATTTAAGGGTAGAACTAAAGTGTCAAAAACTGACCTCTTTTGTTTTTTAATACAATTTATATTCCAATAATTTACATATTCCAATAATATAATTTATATTCCAATAGGTGCTTCATTGATTTTGTGCTATAACGTAACTCCCAGATATGTATTTCAAATGTTATATGTAGCAACTGCTAAGAAATGTGATATACAATATTTGATTTCATTATCACCTTTGCAGATTAGTATTTATTAGTATAATTCTTATTATTTATTAGTATAATTCTCTCATAATACTCTTACAAGTTGCTTTTAAAATGCAAAACCTTTATTTTAAAAAATGGCTTCTCCCCATCTCCTTTACAGTATATAAGAAGCTGTATAATGCTTGGGAGGATGCCCAATTTGATGCTGATGGCTAAGGAAAGCCTTTACTCGCAACTGCCAATGGACTGTTTTACAATGCCATCTTATTCCAGACGCATCTCCACAGCTACACCATATATGAATGGAGAAACTTCTACAAAATCCCTTTGGGGAATAAATAGTGCACTAAGAATAAAAATTCTTTGTGCAACCTATGTAAATGTAAATATTCGAGACATTGACAAGGTAATGTCATGTTGAGGCTTATTATTTTATATAAATTACTAGAGGCCCAATGCACAAAGATTCATGCAAGAATGGGCCTTCCTTCCCCTGGCTGCCAGCACTGCCTTTGCTCTGATTGGAGCTGCTGGGGTGGGGCGGAACGCCTGACAATGCAAACATCCCACCCCACCCCCAGCCACTTGGTGCCTGCCTATGCAAATTAGCCCATAATATTTGTTGGGTTAATTTGCATACTCACTCCTGATTGGCTGGTGGGTCATGAAGATACAGTCATTTTGCATCTTTCTCTTTTATTAGTGTAGATTTTATATAAACTTTTTTATTGAATTAAATAATGATCTATTTATTGATCTATGTTTTCAGATGGCTAGAAAACCATCCATCTACCTCTGATATTACACAGCTTATGGTCCTTTGTCATTTAATATCCTAATGATTCTAATGCTCACAATTCTAAGCTCTTAAAACCAAAAGTTTTACAGAATTTATTTGGCAACAAAACCTGGTCCAACTTGAAGCAAGGTTTTTTTGTATCTTTATTTATCCCACTATAAATATTTTGTATCTTTATTTATCCCACTATAAATAATTTATGGGTGATCTAACTTCAAATAGTATTGAATAATGTTTAGTATATGTACCAATTTATCTTTATAAAATATGAAAAACTCTGAATTCCATACCTGTCCTAACGGTGGGCCTATAGTGATTTTTATTAGTCTGATGCTTCCCTAAAAATAGCAAAAAATTTTGGTGAAGAGCCTGCATCAGTATTAACTTATTATATATGTGAGAAAAGGAGAACTGAAAAGCAGCATCTGAGCAGAAACTTCTAATGGAGCCTGCAACCTTGGCATATCGGGACAACGCTCTGCTAACTGAGCTACCTGGCCAGGGGAAACAGTTATTCTTGTATTATTATTTATTAATTATTGTAGTATTTTCCATAAAACAACTGTAAGCCTACTTTTTTTTCCCATTCGTGTATTGTGTTTATACCATATATGTGTGTGTATATGCGTGTGTGTGTGTGTGTGTGTGTGTGTGTGTATGTTTGTATATATTTGTTATCACATACCTTTTTTTCTCTTTAGATCTATGTTCGAACAGGTATCTACCATGGAGGAGAACCCTTATGTGATAATGTGAACACTCAAAGAGTACCTTGTTCCAATCCTAGGTAAGGAAGTATATGGATTTCTATCTTCAATGTCATATTAGTGTTTAGCAATGAAATTAATAAAAGTAATACAATTTCCATCATTGTTTTTATACAAGTCAAGGAAATTGCCAGACATTTACATATATAACATAAGGACTTTCTGTCAAACACAGGATCACTTTATTGAATTTCTATAAAATTTTACCTATAGGGTTTTTCTGATTCTCTCCATTGTATCAAGGAGAGAAAAAGATTTGGTTACACTTTGATACTGATGATTCTTATCTCCATTATCATTTATTTACACTGATAGTTGAACTAAGAGTTAGCAAACAGCTCCAGAGCCAGACTACTAAGAGGCAGTTTTCTGCACATTACCCCCAAGAATAGATAAATATGACATTCAAATAAATCAGTTTCTTAGGAGGAGGAGGAGTTCTTGGAAACATTTTAAATTATTACTACCTAGATATAATGACAGAATAAAAGGTAGTATAATCCAGCAGCTTGTCATCCTGCCATTTCTTTTCCTTTCTCTATCGAGTCATTTGGGATAAGAGTCTACCCTGAATAAATAGTAATATTTTAAGAGAACTCAAATTGGTGTTAAAAATGGATTTTGTATCATAGCAATCAAGCTAACTAGTGAATCATTCACAAGTAAATTTCTTTTTTATTTTATTTTTATTGTTGAAAGTGTTACAGGTTTCTACAAGGAAATTTCATAATGAATTTAGACTGAATTCTAGGAGAATCAAGAAAAAATTTTGATCTTATAATTAAGTTGCTAGAGGTGACTACCGTTCTAGAGTTTGGATCAAGTTCAAAGAGATGGTAATTTTTTTCTGCCTGAAGAAAGGGAAATAGTTCCTCACCCTACCGGAACCATTAGGCCAGAAAGTACGTCATTCATGTTAGAACTTATGCTGTGACAACAAACAACCCCTAGATCTTTTACAATCTTTATTGGAACAACAAAATTTATTTCCCAGTCATACTGCATAACTCTCACAGGTTGAGTGATTTGGTTGTGAAAGGAACAACAAAACATATTTGAGTAAAGAATGGCCAAAATTAAGCAATCCCATTTACCATCACATCAAAAAAAATTAAGATACCTAGGAATAAACAACTAAGGAGGTAAAAGACCTATATGCAGAAAACTAAAGGACACTGACAAAAGAGATAAAGGAAGACGTTAACAGATGGAAGAACATACCCTGTTCGTAGATTGGTAGAATCAACATCATTAAAATGTCCATACTACCCAAAGCAATTTATAGGTTCAATGTACACCCCATTAAAATACCAACGGCATATTTCACAGACCTAGAAAGAACTCTCCAAAAATTCATCTGGAATAAAAAAGACGCCGAATAGCCACAGCAATCCTGAGAAAGAAAATAAAGTAGGAGGGATCTTATTATAATACCAGATTTCAAGCTGTATTACAAAGCCACTGTCCTCAAAACAGCCTGGTACTGGCATAAGAACAGACATATAGATCAATGGAATAGGATAGAGAATCCGGATATCAACCCAAATCACTATGCTTAATTAATATTTGACAAAGGAGGTATGAACATACAATGGAGTCAAGACAATCTCTTCAATAAATGGTGTTGGGAAAATTGGACAGATACATGCAAAAGAATGAAACTATCGATAGATCACCAACTTACACCATACACAAAAATAAACTCAAAATGGATACAGGACTTAAACATAAGATGGGAAACCATAAAAATACTAGAGGCATCCACAGACAACAAAATCTCAGACATATGCCAAAAGAACTTCTTCACTGATACTGCCCCTAGGGCAATGGAAGCTAAAGAGAAAATAAACAAATAAAATAAACATCAAAATAAAAAGCTTTTTTACAGCAAAAGAACCCATAACAAAACAAGAAAGCCCACTGTATGGGAGAACATATTTGCAAATGTTATTACTGATAAAGATTTAATCTCCAATATCTACAGGGAACTTACACAACTTAATAAAAGAAAGATAAATGATCCAATAAAAAATGGGCAATGGACCTAAATAGAATCTTTTCAAAAGACAGAAGGAAGGCCAAGAGACACATGAAAACATGCTCAAAGTCACTAATTATCCAAGAAATGCAAATCAAAACAACAATGCGGTACCATCTCACACCTGTCAAAATGGCCAACATCAACAAATTAACCTGTAGGATGGCCATCATCAACAAATTAACAAATAACAAGTGTTGGTTAGGATGCGGAGAAAAAGGAACCCTTGTGCACTGCTGGTGGGAATGCAGACTGGTGCAACCACTGTGGAGAACAATATGGAGTTGCTTCAAAAACTGAAAATAGAACTCCCATTTGACCCAGTAATCCCACTGCTAGGAATAAATATATCACAATAAACTAGAAACATCAATCAAAAAGGACATATGCACCCTTATGTTCATAGCAGCACAGTTTACAATAGCTAAGATTTGGAAACAGCCTAGGTGCCAGTCAGCAGATGAGTGGGTCAGAAAAGTATGGTGCATCTACACAGAGGAATACTATGCTGCCATAAAAGAAGGAATTCTTATCATTTGCAGTGACCTGGATGGAATTGGAGAACTTTATGCTGAGTGAAATAAGCCAGTCAATGGAAGAAAAACACCACATGTTCTCACTCATTTATGGACAATAAAGAACATTATAAACCACTGAACAAAAAGATAGAGACAGTAAAGCAACAAACAGACTGTCAAATTACAGCGGGGAGGATAGGGAGATATAAGAGATCAACCAAAGGACTTGCATGCATATAAGCATAACCAATGGACACAAAACTCTGGAGAGGGAGGGCATGTATGGGAATGGGGGAGGGCAATGGTAAGATATGTACATACATAATACCTTAATAAAAAAATGTTAAAGCTCAAAAAAAATTTTTGTTAAAAACTGTAAAACCAACAATCTAAGGAGTTTAACAAGCCAAAGGCAAAAACCTCAAAATAATATTGGGTACATTTATTCTAGTTGTTTCAAAACTAAAAAATGAACTAGTTTTATAAAAGTAAAAGGTAAATGTATTTATTTTTTTATTGTTTAAAGTATTACATATACTAGTACATATATCTTCTTTTCTTTTCCCATTGACCTTCCCCCAGCCTCACCTACCTCTTGTTGCATGCCCTCAAACCTCCCCCGCATTGTCTTGTGTCCATTGGTTGTGCTTATATGCATGCATACAAGTCCTTCAGTTGATCTCTTTCCCCACCTCCCCAACATTCCCCAGCCTTCCCGCTGTATTTTGACAGTCTGTTCGGTTCTTTACTGCCTCCATATCTATCTTTTTGTTCATCAGGTTATTATGGTCTTTATTTTTCATAAATGAGTGAGATCATGTGATAGCTTTCTTTTATTGTCTGGCTTATTTCACTTAACATAATGCTCTCCAGGTCCATCCATGCTGCTGCAAATGGTAAGAATTCCTTCTTTTTTATAGCAGCATAGTATTCCATTGTGTAGATGCACCATACTTTTCTGATCCACTCATCTGCTGACGGGCACCTAGGCTGTTTCCAAATCTTAGCTATTGTAAATTGTGCTGTTATGAACATAAGGGTGCATATATCCTTTCTGATTGGTGTTTCTAGTTTATTGGGATATATTCTTAGGAGTGGGGTTACTGGTCAAATGGGAGTTCCATTTTTAGGGTTTTTTTTAGGAAACTCCACACTGTTCTCCACAGTGGTTACAGCAGTGTGTATTCCCACTAGCAGTGCTTGAGGGTTCCTTTTTCTCCACATCCTCACCAGCACTGGTCATTTGTTGTTTTGTTGATGACTGCCATTCTGACAGGAAGTATTCCTTCCTCTTGAATTTTTTGGAATAGTCTGAGGAAGATAGGTTTTCATTCTTCTTTGAATGTTTGGTAAAACTCCCCTGTGAAGCTGTCTGGCCCCGGACTTTTGTTTGCTAGAAACTTTTTGATGACTGCTTCAATTTCTTCCTTAGTTATTGGCCTATTGAAATCTTTATAATTCTTCCTGATTGAATTTTGGAAGTTTGTATTTTTCTAGGAATATGTCCATTTCCTCCAGCATTTCCTCTTTGTTCTTACACATATTGTTGAATTTGTCTTCCATTCTTTTCATCCACCTTATGACTATTTCTATGAATTCTTTCTCTGACAGGTTGCTTGCCTCCATTTTATTTACTTCCTTTTCTGGTGATGCCTGCTTTTCTTTCAGATGTTGTCTGTTTCTTTGTCTCCCCATGGTCTCTCTTCTCCGCGTGTCTGGTTATGTAGTTCTCTCTCTCCTTTCCGTGGTGAAGTGTAGAAGTCCTCTGAATCCACGTGCTTGTGCCACTTGGGAACCAGTGTTCTCGGGTTCGCAGCTGTTCAGTGGGTGCCGTAGTTGTAGATTCCCCAGGCTTTTCAGGCTCCCGATAACATTCAAGATGCACGGTCTCTGCACCTGAGCCAGCCACTCTGGGAAGGAACCCAGCAGCAGTGGGGGCTGCCCCGTCAGGGGTGCGCAGTCCAGCAGTCCCCCACAGTCTTCTGGGTATAGCTGTCCCTCAACTCACCAACAAACACTCCCTGTGCGACCACACACTCTCCCTTTGTTTTCTCACTCACACACTATCTTGCAGTCTGCCTTCCCGTCAGCAGCCATCTTCAATCTTCCAGATATATGTATTTAACAATCTAAGATTATAATGTCAAAATTTTAGTGAATTACAGAAGCTCTTTGAAAAGAACTTACATTTGATTATCTTTTTTTTAAGAATTCTGTAGTCTAAAAGATAAAATCCCTATGATAGCAGTATGAATATTTTAGTAAATTTGTAAACTTTTCTGATTTTACAAAAAAATAGAGATAAAAGAAAATGAAGTTATTAAAATGAAAAGGAGATATTAAAAAAATTCTTCTGAGATTAAGTGATTGTTCCAAATACTGTACTTCCCATGTACTAGGTAAATTACCATATGATTTCTTCATAAATGTTAACGTTCTCTCCAAAATCAAAATCAATTTGAACTATATATATATATATATATATATATATATATATATATAGTTCAAATAGCTATTGCCTAATAATAAAGAACTTAATTGTTTTCTGTGTGTGAACTTGAGAAGAAACATGCTTTATTTGCATAGTATTATAAACAACATTCATAGGATATAGCTCTCATAGTATATAGAATATTTCCCATTAACTCTGATCAAGTCTAGAGATTTAGAAGTAATAAATAAAACCTTGGGTACATTTATTGTGAACTTATCAAATCCCACGATATTTCTTTTCTCCAAATGCATTGTTTCTTTATCCTTTAGAATTCCTTCTTGCTAAGTTCCCTCAATTTAAACATACCTTCTTTGTACAAGTGGATTATATTTTTTAATCTTCATCCATAATCAAGCAAAGAATACACAGAATTTATTTTACTAATAAAGTTTTATAACCTTAGTCTAATTAAAAATTTTATACCACTTTGTTGTTAATTAAGTCTTGTTTTATTTGTGACCAAAAACAAAATAGAATTTTGAAGAAGCCATTTAAAAAGTTTTCAAAATCATTATCTAGCACTTGAGATTTTACTTTGGATCAGTTACACTTCTAATTTGTTTACTTTTGTTATCTCATTTAATCTTCACAACAACTTTATGAGAGTAGATACTATTATTAGTCACATTTCCAAAATGAGCAAACAGACAAAGTGAGGGTTGCACATGTAATAAAATAGTAAAAACAAGATTCTACTCTAGATAGTGTGACTTCTGAGATCATACTCTTAACCATTACTATAATCCTTTTTAAAGAAATAACAATTATGTATTTTGCTTGGCTCTTTACAGATATGTCCACCAAATAAAATATGGACATTATTTCACATGTAATATCCAATAAATTAAAGGAAATTTATTATTAAAATTTGAGAAAAATATCACTTTTTATAATAACTTTTTATTCTTCTTATGAATGTCAGGTTTTACTTGCAAAATAGTTCTAAAATTTGAATACTTTCTACTAACATTCATTTTATTTAATGCTGACTTATTTAAATGAATAAAACTGCATCATGTATAAAAATAAATATCATCATAATCATCATAGGAAATTTCATTTTATTTAGTTTTCCTTTTCTATTTGCCTCTTTATAAGCTATTTTTTGGGGAGTGAAAGTATATAGCATAAATGGACAAAAGTATATATTTCAAGAGTTTAGTGAGTTATCATAAAGTGAATATCTATATTAGCACTACACTGGTCAAGAAGTGGGACATTTAACAGTATTCTAAAAGTCCCTCCTTCCTCATTCCCTCTCCCAGACCATTAGTCTTCTCTCTAAAGGTAATGTTACAGTTTAATTTGGACTTTTTGAATTTATGTAAATGGACTCACAGAGTAGATTTTTTTTGTGTGTCTTTTTTTTTTTCAACTTAATATTATATTTGTATTATCCATGTTGTAAATAGATGGTATTCATTTCCATTACTGTGTACTTCATTATATGAATATACTGCAGTTTATCTAGTCTACTATTAGACATTAAGGTTGTTTGCAGTTTGGGAATATTGTAAATAATTCTGTTAACATTCTAGGCAGAAATGTAGCATCTCTTTGATTTTATACCTTGAGCTGTCATATGTCAGTTTTAGTATATTATGCTTTCCAAATTGGTTGTATAAATTACATCTCCACTAGCAGTATATGAGATTTCCTGTTACTGCACATTCTATAACCACTCCTTGGTATCATCAATCCTTATAGTTTTAGCTAATCTTTTATATAATGATAGTTCCGTGACATTTTATTTTGCATTTTTTTTGGATAACAAATCATATGGACTACTTTTTCATGTTTATTGGCCATTTGGGTAAATATCTGTTCCATTCGATCTCTGGCCTGTGTTTTGCTTTATTAATTGTTTTTTTTTATGACTTATAGGAGTCATTCATATGCTTTGGATAAACATTTTTTGAGAGGAATAAATTTTTTTTTATTTTACATAGGTGGAATGAATGGTTGAATTATGATATATACATTCCTGACCTTCCTCGTGCTGCTCGGCTTTGTCTTTCCATTTGTTCTGTTAAAGGTCGAAAAGGTGCTAAAGAGGTAAATTATATTCACCTTTAGAAACTCCAAATTATACTGCTTATTGAATTTTTATCAAGAAATTGATATTAGTTTTCTTTATCTAAAATAAATAATTTAAAATTTTAATTAATAAATGTATCTTAAAAAATATCTTGGGAGAACTTTTGGAATTTATAAATAAATTGTGAGTTTGTCCTGAGGTCATACTGATACTGTTTTGGAATATGCCAAGTGACCACACACAAATATCTGTTAAGTGACTACATGCAAATATCTGTCTTGCTTGCTTTGGTTCATATTTCCTAATAATAATAATAATTAGAGAAAATACATGTCATTGAAAGTGGGAAAAAGGAAAGCGAGATATTTACACTTTGTAAAAATTAATATGAAAAAATTAATATGGTTTGTTGTAGACACTTATGGACATAGTTGTTGAATTCTCCTTTCTGGGGAAGAAAAGTGTTTTGAAACAGGTTTAATAATTTAACCCAATAAGTAGTGAATATTTTTCGGTTTTTGTGTTTTAAGGAACACTGTCCATTGGCGTGGGGAAATATAAACTTGTTTGATTACACAGATACTCTAGTATCTGGAAAAATGGCCTTGAATCTTTGGCCAGTACCTCATGGATTAGAAGATTTGCTGAATCCTATTGGTGTTACTGGGTCAAATCCAAATAAAGTAAGCTTTTTTTTTAAATTATAATTTAGAATTTTTTCTTTTTTTATGAAGGTCAAACACAATATAGATGTAATAACTTTTATTCTATCTCTTAGGAAACCCCATGTTTAGAGATGGAGTTTGACTGGTTCAGCAGCAGTGTGGTAAAGTTTCCAGATATGACAGTGATTGAAGAGCATGCCAACTGGTCTGTGTCCCGAGAAGCAGGATTTAGTTATTCCCATGCAGGAATGGTAAGACAAATCACTAAGTTTTCTTAAGTATCAGCCATAATCCGTGGATTGGATATATACTCTTTTTACAGATGGGGTTTCATATGTTTTAGTTACGTTGGCATGGCTACTATAGGTGCTTGACAGTGTTGTAATATAATAAAGTTCTCTATATGCTAATATTTTTACTGCAACCCTGCCTCTCCTTACTTTATTCAGAGCTCTAGCCTGTCTTCATTTAACTAATACTTATTGAATGCCATTAATGTATGACATGTTCCAGGCAATAACGTTGTAACCTAAAGAGACCTCCTGAGTATGTAGTCTGATGGTGAAAATAGATATTAAGCAGGCAAAAGCAAAAATATAAGATTATAGATCATGATAAATGCCAAGAAGGAAAAAGCAATAGTGTGCCAGGAATGACTAACAGGGATGGGAGAAAAAGGCTAATATTGGGTTCAGAGGAGACCTTTCTGAAATAGTAACTTTGAAATTAAGCCAAAGTATAAATATATTGTTAGGTGAGCATGGAAGCAGAGGACATTGCTTTACCACCATAGCTCAATCCCCTAGAAAAGAATATATATAAAAAATAGGATTTAAATATTGATCTAGTTATCTGATCTTGGCCATAAATTTGAAACTATAAAATAACGTAGGAACCATTAACTCTAACTCTTCTTTATTTCTCAAGGACAAAGGTGTCAGTGCTAAGACAAGATATTTTTGTTCTTTAGCTTTTTTTTCTAATTTTCAAATGTATCACTTTCGTTTTGACCTAGTTATAGATCATAGATAGACCAACCAATTGAATGTGGGCCAAGAGGTCCTAAAATATGCCTATCATATTTTACATATTCTTGGTGCAATAACAGCAGCACCCAGGGGCAGCCAACAATGCCACATTTAGGAACTTTCAATAGGGAATTAATTCCTTTTTAAACTGAAGAAGAAGAAGAAGAAGAAGAAGAAGAAGAAGAAGAAGAAGAAGAATCATCATCATCTTTACCATTCCTGCCTTTGCACTTTCAAAGATATAGAAATGCTATTTTAAGTACAAATAAATTTAAAATCATTATTAAATTTTGTCAGATACTAAAAGTAGAATTAAAATAAACTTTTTTGACATTAAAAAGAGATTCTCTTTCTTGAAATTTGTAGCCACTATTCTATAAATTTAATTACTTTATGATAACTGCCTGACCAGATAGCTCAGTTAGTTAAAGCATCATCCTGACAAGCGAAATTTGCAGGTTCGATTCCCAGTCAAGGCACCTGCAAGAAGCAACCAATGAAAGCATAAATAAGTAGAACAACAAATTGCTGTTTCTTTCTCTTTCTCTCGCTCTCTTTCCCCCACCCCATCTCTCTCCCTTTCTTCCTTCCTCTCATTAAATCAATAAATTATAAAAATAAAAATAATTCCTTGATAATTATCAAGTGTTTACTGTGTATCAAATGCCATACCAATCACTTTTCACATATTACTTCACTTCATCTTAAAAGCAATCTCTGTGAAGTAGGTATTATTATAAGCCTTATTTCACCAGTGAAGAAACAGGCATAAGAAGTCTAAATAACTTATCTAATGATCTCCCCATTTGGGATGGGCCGGCCAGACCCTATCTGTGCACAAATTCCTGTACCGGACCTCTAGTTCTGTTATAAATGAGCAGGAATTCCTTAAATTTTAAGTTAGAATTGAAATACTGATAAACATGCTCATGACATGCCCATATCCCTATCCAATTAGTTGTACCTGTAACTGGAAAGAAAAAGGTGACGTAGAAATTTAAAAATTCCTTGGATCCATTCTGATTGGTATCCGTAAGTATAAAAATAGAAATGAAGCAAAAAAAATGACCATTCTAATAAAATTATGAGGCATCAAGGTTTTCAAAAATACTGCATTTTGACATGTGAGTGCGAGAAGAGCCAGAAGTAATGAAAAGCTAGAACTTATTAGATATGTATTTAAAATCTAGACTTAGTATTTACAAGATGAATATGTTCCAGCCTCATGCACAATAGTTGATAAGCAAGCAGTTAGTTGCATTCAAAGAATGTTGCTTATTTTGGATAATAATCTTGGTTTTACTATATTTAAATTATTATCCAGTTGTCATATAATTGTTTTTTCACCACCACTTTATTCTTCTCTAAATTATTCTATATTAAAAATAAAAACAAATAAGGTCCCAGGTTCGATTCCGGTCAAGGGCATGTACATGGGTTGCAGGCACATCCCCAGTAGGGGGTGTGCAGGAAGCATCTGAGTAGATGTTTCTCTCTCATCCATTCCTCTCTCTTCCTTCTTGTGAAAAATCAATAAAATATTTTAAAGAAAAAGAAAAAAAAAACAAAAACAAATAAAAATAAGTAAATAATGCAAAAGAATTAAAAGTCCATGAATCCAGATGGTAAGTGGTAATGACTACTTTTCCAGGTGAAAGGAGGGTTAAGCATTTTTTATCTCTTACCTGAACTATTATTCCAGTAGACTCCTGACTGGTCTCTCCCCCCATGCAGGACTCAGAATGATCTTTATTAAACATAAATCAAATCATGACATTCATTGTTAAACTAATTTTCACTGAAAATAAAATCCAAACCTTTTACCCTGACCTGAACATTTCTTATGCTGTGAACATGGCCTCCTATCACTCCTCTCCCTCACCTACTGGGCTTCAGGTTCACTGGCCTTCTTCCTGTGCCTCCTTTACACCACGCTCATTCTTTCCCTACGGCACTTTCCTTGTTCCTCCATCTGCAATAGTCTTTTCCTATCTTAATATTGATGGTTCTTTCTAGTCACTTGGATTACAATTAAATATTACCTGTTCATGCCTTTTCAGAGGCCATTTCTGAGCATCCAGTCTAAAGTAGTCACTCAGTCATTCTCTGTTACATCACCCAGAGTATTTAAATCAACTTGCCAATATTTTTCTTATTTGTTCATTTAATTTTCCACCGTAACACAAGCCCCATTAGGTACAGGTTCTTTTATAATTTTATGACCCCAAACAGTACGAACAAGACAAAGCACACAGTCTATGCTTTCATAAATATTTGTTGAGTAAAATATGTGCTAATATTTCTTGGTGCTGTTAGATAAATTAACAATGTTTAAATGTATAAAAACCTAGAAGCATGGATGTTTGCTTTCATTTTTAGCCATTAGAAATATCTGTAACCCTTTTTAAAGGATATGTTATTATTTTTTATAATACATTAATATGAATTCATAATTATTATATAGTTAATATATCTACATTTAAAGAAAAAAAAATGCATTACTTGGAATTGTACCAAAAGTTGTGGTGTTTTTGGTTTCCAAAAACACAATGTACTTGGTTTTAATGGGCACATTGCTTCTCTCCAGGCAACCATTATGAAATAATTTACATTTTACTATATTACTATTTCAAATTCTCTTATTCCAGAAACATTAGCAGATTACTAAGAAGGGTCCTCATCAGCGTGAGAAGTAACTTATTCACTGCTAACCCTAGTATCCAATTTCTTATCCCTGACTAACTTTGGCAGTTACTATTCTGTGGTTGATGTTAATGTTAACCAAATAAGTTACTGGAAGAAAAAAAAAGTTACTGGATTTGTTCCACAAATACTGTCTTGAGCTGATTCTTTCCTATTCCTAAAAATAAAGTTTTATCATGGGAATAGTAAACTGTTTCACAGCAGTTAATAAGCAATATAAAGTGAACTGACAGTTTTTTTCTTTTTTTATGTGGATCACTCATGAAAAATATAGCAGAAAAAGTCATATAAGATGTTACTTTATTTTACAGAGTAACAGACTAGCTAGAGACAACGAATTAAGAGAAAATGATAAAGAACAGCTCCGAGCAATTTGTACCCGAGATCCTCTCTCTGAAATCACTGAGCAAGAGAAAGATTTTCTTTGGAGCCATAGGTAAGTGTTAAGATGAGGAGTCTTCGTTTTTTACCTTACAGAGGAAAAGAAAGAATTGGCTTTGGCTGATCTTGCCTTTTTTTCTACCATACCTATTAAAAAAAATAAAACATAGCCAAAGCCAGTTTGGCTCAGTGGAAAGAGCGTCGGCCTGTGGACTGAAGGGTCCCGGGTTCGATTCCGGTCAAGGGTATGTACCTTGGTTGTGGGCACATTCCCATAGGGGGTGTGTAGGAGGCGACTGATCGATGGCTCTCCCTCACCAATGTTTCTAACTGTCTATCTCTCTCCCTTCCTTTCTGTGAAAAATCAATAAAAATTTATTTAAAAAAAAAAAAAAGAATAAAGCATAAGACACATGACTTTTTATATAAACATTCTTTTTAAAGTTGTAGATATAGATCAGTATTTCTAGAAAAAATCATGCTGTATTGGTATTAACTTTGGATATTGAATACTTTTTTAAAATTCTAATTTGCTAACACCCTTTTTAGGATTTGGATTTTATTTTTGCTTTTTAATAAAATTCAAAATCCAAAAAAATATCATATTGTTTTAGATCAATTTAGTTGGTCTAGATATTTCTATTTTTAGGAGTTCCCTTCATTTTCATTTTTTTCTTACATTTCCTCAAAATAATAGTATAATGCCTTATTTTTACTTATGAAGAAATTATCATACTACTTGGTGATACTTTTATTTAAATAAAACAATTGCAGTGCATTTCTGCAGTAGTTCCTTAAACATAAATTCTTTCCCGTGACCACAGTAGAAGTGGTGACTCTCCTCATGGTCCAAGTTGCCTACTGGATGAATAAAAGGAGCTATATAAAGTATGTTATAAAATAAATTCACAATTTTTCCTAAGTACCCGCCTTCCATTTGGATTTTTCTTTTGCCTCCCTTGCCATTATAACTGGATCTAGGTATCTGTGTACATAAATATGCAACAAAATGTTAAAACACTGATTTTTTAAATTTTATTTTAAGGAAGGCTAGTAATTATAAAACCTAAGTGTTTGGAACGTCTTAAAGATTGCATAGTTGAAAATTTAGACATCTAGACCTTATAAATAACATGCAAGAATGTTTTTTATTTTGTTTTATCTTTTCTACACAGGCACTATTGTGTAACTATCCCTGAAATTCTACCCAAATTGCTTCTGTCTGTTAAATGGAATTCTAGAGATGAAGTAGCTCAGGTAAGTGCATGTTTGAGATTCCTGAATAGCTGTTGCTTGGATTGTTTTCTCTCACAAAGTCTGCATAAATATGAGCTAAAATAGACTGTTTTAAGTTAATTAATAATGGTAATATAATAAAGAAAAATTATTGAAATGAATATTTTAAGCACTGAATTCATAAGGGAGCTTTTATCTAAAAGAATTTAAAATGAAAAATTAAGACAATGTCTTAAAAGGGTTCATTCACAACTGTCTTTGCTTTACAAATACGATTTGTAGTCTTTCTCGTGCACAGATGTACTGCTTGGTAAAAGACTGGCCTCCAATCAAACCCGAACAAGCTATGGAGCTTCTGGACTGCAACTACCCAGACCCTATGGTTCGAAGTTTTGCTGTTCGATGCTTAGAAAAATATTTAACAGATGACAAACTTTCTCAGTACCTAATTCAGCTCGTACAGGTAAAATAATGTAAAAAAGAAAAATTATGTTTTATTCTAAATCCAGGCAACTTTCAAAACCTCTACTGTATTAACTGATTTTATGCTTTTTTAAAAATTAGTTTTGTCACCAGTAGTATCTACTTTCTTTCTTTAAAAAATTACCTTTAACTCCAACCATGCAAAAATTGACCCTCGTTGATGTAAAAGTTATTTTATGTTTGTTTGTTTTTAAACACATAGGTCCTAAAATATGAACAGTATTTGGATAACCTGCTTGTGAGATTTTTACTCAAAAAAGCATTGACTAATCAAAGGATTGGGCACTTTTTCTTTTGGCATTTAAAGTAAGTCCAATTATTTTCTCATTAAATTATCTACAGACATATTACTTTCTTAATATTTGTATAAATATGCATACTTATATACTATAGCTTTTGTTTGTCTGAGTTTTCCATATTGAAAATATGTGGTACCAATGATGAGTTTCCCCTCAAGCTTTTCTCTTTAGAATTAAATAAACAGTGAAATTCAAAACTGAATTTTTTACAGGAATGAGAGCTGAAATATTTATAAGACTTTGATTCTACTTTAAGTGAAGTTAAATTTGCTAGGTTAATATCGATTAAAGGTATATTTGGTTTCACTGTGTGTGTATTAAAATATCCCAAAATGAAGAAAAAAATCTTACCTTGGAATTGGAATTCAGAAGAAAAATAACAAAAATCTCAAATTTCTTATTAGAAAAGAAGCTAATTAAGAATAGAAAAAAATATGTAGAATCAGATATACCTAATTCTCAAAGGTAGGAGTCATAAACCAAACACTTTTTTCTAAATATAGAAACAGATTTGTAGTTAACATGGTTTTTTAAATGTTAAAATTTAAAATGAAACCTAGAAGCTGGGTTTAAAATAACATAAGTTCAGGTGTGCTTTGATGTGTTTCTCTAACTTCCTTTTGGCTGGGTTAGTTGAGCTTCTGGGATTTCTAGATTTATAGTTTTTATCATATTTGGAAAATTATTGTGTATTTAGCAATGTTGCTTAATAAAATTTCATTCCATTCCTCCAAAAAAAAATAAAATGACTTATATTCAGAGACAATGTAGAAAAGGAACATGTATGCCAGCAGAGTCAAACACTATTTACTGATTCTTAACTCCCTCCCTATTCATTTTATTTTTGTTTCTACTTTCCCTTTGCTCATTTTTATATGTATATCTGAGAGATTAGTTAATAAAAAGTAGTTGAAATAAACCTAAAAGCTAGTACATTAACATTTGAAGAACTCTCTGAAGAAACTCTCGATTATTTGGCTTCTAAATGATAAGTTTTAAATTATTTTGTTGTTCATATGATATAACACTTACTGAATTTAGGAAAAAAATTCTTAAATATATATGTACTCATTTGAAACTATATGTGTGTGTGTGAGTGTATGTGCATTTTTCTTTTTGTTTTAATCTTGCACTGTTCCTCTAGATCTGAGATGCACAATAAAACAGTTAGTCAGAGGTTCGGCCTGCTTTTGGAATCCTACTGCCGTGCGTGTGGGATGTATTTGAAGCACCTGAACAGGCAAGTTGAGGCTATGGAAAAGCTCATCAACTTAACTGACATTCTCAAACAAGAGAAGAAGGATGAGACTCAAAAGGTATGTGACTCTTTAGTTTGTTTTTGAAACTCTTTGTTGCAGTGTAGCAGGGTTATTTGAGAGCCCAGTATACAGGAGTGTATAAAAGTAGGTCTATAGTTGTGAGTACACAAATAATTAATATTTATTTATTATTGTATTACTAATTTGTATTATTTCCCTATGAACAACTGAAAACCTACTTTTGCCCACCTCTGTATATGCGGATCATGGGTCTTTGAATCAAGCATATTAGGATCTGTATCCATTTCCACTGGCTCCTGGCTGTGTAATGTTAGACACATTATTTAGTCTTTGAGATTCATCTTCCTTGAATGAGAATAATTCTTCATAGTGTTGTCATGAGAATTAAATTATATGAGATATGCAAAGCTCCTGTCACAGTCCCTAGAACATGAGAAGTGCCAGTAATTGTTAGTTCTTGCTCTCTTCCTTTCTCTTTCATATAATCCTAACTTTAAAAAATAATTTTCCAATACTTTCAACAATAAAGAATTATTTAAAAAAATAAAAATAATTTTCCCTATTCTGTGTCACTTACTCTTTTAGTAATGACCTTGAAAATGAGTGGAAGAAAATTAGTGTTTACATTTTGTGGTTTAAAATGAACTTCGTTACTCAGTGAATATGTCATGCTTTAGTCAAGTGCAGTCAAGCTTAGAGTACTGAGGAATATGAAATGTGAAGATTTTTCATGAGCTTTTCCTATTCTTTATCCTTTATCCCACCATATTTTATAGTTAAAAGTAAAATCATACTTCATTTCCAGTGAAATGAAGAAAAAAAAATCTCAGCTTATTAATAACTCCCCAAAGTACACAGAATGTAAATTAGCAGTACTGAATTAATTTTTCCAACATCTTCATTAATATTGATTGAAAAAATATTACTTTCTGTAAAAAAAAAAAGTTACTGTTTTAATCTAAATGCCACAGAATTAATTTTATTAAAGTTGTGTTATATAAATTTAAATATAGATTATTAGAAAATAATTATACTGTTTCTGATGCTAGAATTGTGAGCAAGAGGGGACTAGAATGCTTTGAAAGAATAATGCTTATTACATTTATATTGTAACTGAGATAAGAAATATAAACTAGATATTAGTTAAATTAGTAAATATAGGCATTTCTTTAAACTGGAATTTTTTTTATAACAGATTGGCCATGATACAGTGGATTATTTAGGAACATGAAATTCACTATTCGGATTACTATTGTCTTAAATGGAGTTGTGATAAGAAACTAAAAACACAATCATAGGATTTGTGGAATCTAAAAACAGCAACAAATGAACAAGCAGAACAGAAACAGACTAATAGATACAAAAAACTTTTTGATGGTTGCCAGATGGGAGGAGGTTCGGGGGTGATTGAAAAAAGTGAAGGGATTAAAAAATACAAATTGGCTCTAGCCGGTTTGCTTCAGTGGATAGGGCATCGGCCTGCAGATTAAAGGGTCCCTGGTATGATTCCGGCCAACGGCATATGCCGAAGGGCAGGCTCGATCACCCCCAATAGGTGATTCTCTCTCATCATTGATGTTTCTATCTTCCCCTCTCCCTTCCTCTCTGAAATCAATAAAAAAAAAAAAAAAATCTTATTTTTTAATTGCTATTTACTAAATGGTCACAGGGATGTAAAGTACTGCCCCAGTCATAGGACTAAAGGCAGTTATTTTGTGTGGTTTGTATTTTATCATAACAATGATAAAGTGCAGGAAGCAGTGTGCTAACTTTAGAGCTGATAGTGACAGAGAAAAAATGCCTTTACATGATCAAGAGCCCTAGTCAGTGATGACTAGATTTTCCAGTTATTCACTTATACATAGAAAGGGAGGGGGGGACGGGGACTTGTTACTAAAATCCAACATGAATATAAATTTATTACGAATTCCTAGGACCTAAACTCTTTTTTTTTGTTCCCCACTCATATTTTACATTTTCAAAAGAGGTTTTCTAAAATAAAATGGCAATTATGACATGATAGCTCAGCAGTCTGGGCTCTGGTTTGAACTGATTAAAAATGGATGTACCTTTTTAACTCTATGCTGGAGCATGAGTATAGTGTGAGACTCAGTGAGACAAATGTTTTTACAAGTCCTTTTCCCAGCAGTTCCTTTTAGCCTCCCTTGACCTTTTCTACCCATCAGAAAGAGGGTGAACATGATGTTTCCAAAGCTTTCCCTCTACAACATTGGGTCAGCAAACTTTTTCTTACAAGGTCAGATAATAAATAAGTTTTCAGGCCATGTGGATTCTGTTGTAATTACTTAACTCTGCTGTTTGAAAAAATAGCCAAAGTCTAAATGAATGGGCATGGTTATATTCAACTCAATTTAACTTACAAAATCTGGCCGCTGACCTGCTGTCATTGACCACGCCCTGTTCTAGAGCCAAAGCATTGCCTCTGTCATCAGGCTCATAGGGAGGCACACAGTGCTGTCACTCTCACCTCTGCCTGAGTTGTCTGCTCTGTGTTACAGAAGCACGTCTAACTAGAATATTGCCAATCCAAGATATCTATTCAAAGTCTGAGGTTCCAGTGTATAAAAGAAATTAGCAGTTAGTTTTACCTGCTAATTTCATCCTCTAATCACGATTATACTAATTTATCAGGTACAGATGAAGTTTTTAGTTGAGCAGATGCGGCGACCAGATTTCATGGATGCTCTACAGGGCTTTCTATCTCCTCTAAATCCTGCTCATCAATTAGGAAATCTCAGGTAAGGTACCTTATTGGAAGTTTTATTTATATGTTTAAGTAGTAGTCTCTTTGGAGAAAATCTTGAGAAAAGTCAAAATGTCCATTATAATTAGCCTTAGCTGGTTTGGTTCAGTGGATAGATGTCAGCTTGTGGACTGGGGCGATCTCAGGTTCTATTCTGGTTAAGGGTATATGCCTAGGTTTCGGGCTTGATGCCCTGTTTGTTCCGTGCAGGAGGCAGCCGATCAATGATTATCTCTAATCATTGATATTTATACCTGTCCCTTTTCCTTCATCTCTGAAATCAATAGAAATACATATTTTTTAAAATGTCCATTATAATTAGAATATTCCATTTTACAGGGTGAGGCAACAGTAGGTTTACAGTTGTGAGTGCATGAAGCACAGTTTATTTGTGTATTGTTTATTAATTATTGTATTATTTTCTATACAAACAACTATAAACCTATTTTTGCTTACCTTGTATACATGCTTCCTTCTTCCATTATCATACCCTACAAAGTAAGAGTTGTAACATTTTCTTAAGTTCAGGATGAGTTTTACTACTTTAATAATGGAGTTTAAAATACTCTAGAGCCAGAATTTCTATACCATAGAATAAGAGATGGAATGTAATATGTGTAAAACTAATGATGTGGCCCTGGTGGATATTGTTCAGTGGTTAGAGTATTGGCCTGCGCACCAAAGGGTCACGGGTTCAGTTCCAGTCAAGGGCACATACCTGTGTTGCAGGTTCAATCCCCAGCCCAGGTTGGGGCACATGTGAGAGACATCCAATTGATATTTTTCATACATTGATGTTTCTCTCTTTTTTCCTTCCTCCCCATCCTCCTTTCCACTTTCTCTGAACATCAGTGGAAAAAATATCCTTGGGTGTGGATTAAAAAAAGAATGTGAATAGGAAAAAAAACAAAACTAATAATGTGTCCCTATGTTTGTTGAAAATTAATGTTATTATGTGATTCATTTTTAAGCTTAATATTTTTTGATTTTTTAAATTATTGATTTGAGAGATCAAAGAAGGGAGGGAGGGATGGAGAGAGGGAGCGAGGCGTTGATTTGCTGTTCCAATTCATCTACTCATTCATTGGTTGCTTATATATGCCCTTACCAGGGATTGAACCCTCAACCTTGGTGGATCAGGACAACCCTCTAACCAACTGAGCTACCCAGCTAGGGCAACATTTATTTTCTCTTTATAATCCCTTAGAAATGAATTCATTAATAAAATCAACTGAAAACTTTTAAATTTTTATAACACTTTAGAAAGCAATGCTATTTTAAAATTAATTTGAGGGTAAAAGAATAATAAAGCTAAAGTACCTATTAAAGTTTTTAACTATTTTAAAGGCTTGAAGAGTGTCGAATTATGTCCTCTGCAAAAAGGCCACTGTGGTTGAATTGGGAGAACCCAGACATCATGTCAGAGTTACTCTTTCAGAACAATGAGATCATCTTTAAAAATGGGGATGGTAAGGAAGAGTATTAATGAACCTATGATGCATGAATTTAGCTATCCTTTTATATACGGGATATTTATGAACCATGAAGACTATTGAAAGCTATTTAAGGAATATGCATGTGGCAAATGTGTAATATTAAGCAGATGTCTTGGCCTTTAGAATATGTATGTATAATTATTGAAAAGAAGCACTGGTTTACAATCAGAATGCTTGAATCTGTTTCTAACTATCATTTGTTTAGCTATGAGAGTGTCCATTTACTCCATAAACATTTGATGTGCTGGACAGTGGGGTTGTAAGAATAAATAAACAAAACAGAATCCCTGCCCTCCTAAAGGTTACATTCTAGCAGGGAAGAGAGAGATGTAAGACAAATAATTATAAAAATAAAATTACAACCATGGTACAAGGGAAAAGTATAGTTTGCTAAGAAATCATATAAAAGGAGATCCTAATTTGCTTGGAGAATAGGCTGTGCGGGAGCAGTGGGAGGGTCACTGATGGGTTTCCATTGGGAAATGATATTTCAGCATTGAATTTGGTTAATCGAATGTTTAAATATAAACATGTTCAAATTTAAGAGTTCAGAAAAATAAATGTTTTAATTTAAAATTTTTGGAAAATAGCTTATCCTACATTGTTATATAGATGAGTTTATGTAGATACTTTAGAAATGGGTTAAAGAGTCAAAATATTGCTTCCTAATAGATTATTTTAAAGAGTAAATATAGCTCTGTTTATTTATCATTTGAAAACAATGTGATAACATGATACTCAAATGTGTACTTATGGTATTAAGTAGTAGTACATATTATTTGAATTTCAGATTTGCGGCAAGATATGCTAACACTTCAAATTATTCGCATTATGGAAAATATCTGGCAAAATCAAGGTCTTGATCTTCGGTAGGTAACCAATAAGGCATCATGTATGTTGAAAATTATCCTGAAAAAGTAAGCTATGCAGCAGAAACCGGTTTGGCTCAATGGATAGAGCATCGGCTTGGGGACTGAAGGGTCCCGGGTTCAATTCCGGTCAAGGGCATGTACCTTGGTTGCGGGCATATCCCCAGTGGGGGCTGTGCAGGAGACAACTGATGGATGACTCTCTCTCATCGATGTTTCTAGCTATCTTATCTCTCTCCCTTCCTCTCTACAAAATCAATAAAATATATTTTTTTAAAAAGTAAGCTATGCATAAATATTAATTACAAAGAATGTAGAGACATACATCTGTAAAAAGTATGAGACAGTAATTAACACTAATTTCTTTCCTTTGTCCTCCTCCTCTTTGACTTACTGTAGCTACTGAGATTCTGCTAAGTAAGAAGAGCTTTCTCATAAACTTGGAGATTGCAACTGCAAGTATCTGTTTAAGAACAGGATATAGGAGACAAAAGGCCCTTGTTGTCTTTCAGAAGTTTAGAAGAAAGTTGCTTTCATAATATAAATTTTCTAATTTTAAAACTTTCTAATTTCTCTAGTCTTGAATCAATTTTGCAGAAAAATTTATGAAAGCAACTAATCTTAAAGCTTTTACAATTCTGTTGATTTCTGGCCAGCCTTTCACAATTACCAGTATTATCTCCCAAGTTTTCTCTCATGCATCTTCTTCTCATGACCTTTGCTTTTAATGGTTTTTCCTTCTCTTACTTTACAAATATAGGGTCTTTCAGACAAAGGCCACCCTCTCCAAAAGTATTTTGTCTGTAAGTGGACATAAGAGACAGGAATCAATACTATTTAGGGTTTATTTGTATGCTTTTTCTAAATTAAGAATAGCTAGCATATAAAAGTATATCGGAAATAAATAATAGAACCCTTTTATTGCAAAGAAGAGAAATGGACATCTCAAGTTACCTGCCACATTACAGATTTTAGTTATCAACTTTAATTCTTAACTTCTTGTTCTTTGCCTAATCCCTACTACTTTCCAAAAACAATTCCTGTGATATGAATCAGGTTTCCTTTTTTGGTATAATTTCCTGTTGTGAGAGATCCACATGCCGCTACTGCCACCACTCCCAGGGGAGTGGAGTACAAAAGAGAATGCAGAACTAGAGAGTAAAGGAAAGATTTAACTATAGTTTAACTCTGGTAATTAATGATATTTAATTGTAAATTAGTGACAGTGCAAAAAAAGCATCTAAAGTTAAGCTTGATTATTGGAAAGTAAATTGGATCTTTAGAAAGTTTTTAAGTCATGACATTTTCTAAATATTGTTCTTTCTTTTTAATTAAATTAAGGTTAAAATTTTTGTTTAAAGTTTAATTTTAAATAAAATGATAACATTTTTATTTATTCTTGGCAAAACTTAGATTCAGGTTTATGGTGATTCTGTTTAATGGTGTGTTGATTTTTTTCCTAACTAGCCTTATAGAGACTATGTGTTTCTTTAAATTATGAGCATGTTCAGTAGTAATAAAATATAAATAAGAGAATGAGCAGGAGTACAGCTTTAAGAAATTCCTGTATTTACCAGGGCGGATAGAAGAAAAGATTCCATAAGAACAATGTTCAAAAGAGTAGGAGTAAGTGATTCACAAAACCCCGAAGAGGGAGAGATTCACAAACAATTTAGTGTCATGTACTTCAGGGGATTTCTTAAGCCTTTGGATATGAATATTCGTGGTTAGCTTTGAGAAGAACTAAGTAAAGTGGTAGGCAGAGAAGCTAGGCTATGAGGAATTACATGAGAAAATGAAAATAAGTGTAGAGGATTTCTCTTTAGAAAGGTGATAAGAATGAATTATCTATGTATTTAAAAGCCTAAGCAACTGTTATAACCAAATGACTGGAATGACCAGTTGTCCAGTTGCTATGATGTTCACTGACCACCAGGAGGCAGACACTTACCGCCTGAGCTGCCCCATTGTGGTCAGTGCACTCCCACAGCCAACTGCCTGAGGTCCTTCACCCCAGCCAGCCAGCCTCCCACAGTCCCTCCCCCGACAGCCAGTAGGTCCCCCATCAACCCCATGGTAAACCATTCATAGAGACCTGCTTCAGGGTCAGGGTTTCATACATAGCAGAGCAGCTCCCTTACTGCATCCTATTGAAAGTCAGCACTCCGACACAGGGTTTGTCTCACTCCCATCCTCTCCCTTCCCTGGGGGCCGCCCGCCTGGTATGGTGGCTGTGTGGCAACAGGGGTGGAGATGGAGAACCATGCAATGGCAGGGCACCTACAATGGCAGCAGCAGCACCCATTCCTTCCACACCCGGCCTGGCGACCATCACCTCCTCTCCCAACTCTTCCAGAGCCCAATTTCTTTGGGCTCCAGGCGTGGGTGGCAGCAGACACAGCCCCTTTCTCTGGATGGCTGAGGGCCAGCTCCCTCCTCAGGGCCAGTAGCCAGCCTTCCACAGTCCATCCCCCTGGCTGGCAGGCCCTGACCTGCCTGGCCCCAATTGGCTGAGTCCCAATCAGCCCTGATCGCCAGCCAGGCCTAGGGACCCCAGGCATGCACAAATTTGGGTACTGGTCCTCTAGTTAATACATAATATTAGAATAAACTGTCTCACATACTCAAAACTCTAAGCTTCCTTCTATTAAAATATTGCATTAGATTGAATACAGAAACATATATGAGAATTCAGCTCATACTGTTAAGCTAGACAGTAAAGAAATTTGAAATAATGGAAAACAGTGTTACTCTTCTCACTAAGTTTCTTAATTTAATACAGTCTTTTATGTCATAATATGTTATTTATATTACCTTATAATAGTTTGTTTTTATTTTATAATTTTATGGATTCATTAATATTTTAATTTTTTTCCATTTTAATTTCTAACATCAATAGATATAGCCCATATAAATAAAAACTCTTGGGAATCCACAGTAATTTTTAAGAGTATTAACAAATCCAAAAATTTGAAACTACTATCTTAAAGTATTGTTTTGATGTCAAGGAAACATCTTTAAATTCATCCATATTTTTAAGCTACAAATGTTTGTAAAATTTTAATTGCCATAATAATTTTCTTCATGCTTTTCTAAGATACAAGTAAATATTATGTCAATTGAAGGTTTTAATAAATTATGGCAGATCGTTTTGAGGATTTTTTTTTTAGGAATGTCTTCTATATATAAAAACCTAAGCAACCAAATGACCGAGCAACCAATCAACCGGTAGCTATGACACACACTGACCACCAGAGGGGCAGATGCTCAACGCAGGAGCTGCTCCCTGGTCATCAGTGCACTTCCACAGCCAGAGCCGCTCAGCCAGACACTGGGCTCACTGCTGGCGAGCGCAGCTGTGGTAGCACCAGCCTCTCCCGCCTCTGTGGCAGCACTACCAGGCCACTACTGGCAGGCACAGTGGGGCCAGGAGGAGTGGGAACGAGCAGTGTGGCTCGGGCTCCTCCCACATGGCCGCCTGCCGCTTTACACACTACTACATCCCTTGGGGTCCCGGATTGTGAGAGATCCCACCAGTGTATGAATCCATGCTCCAGGCCTCTAGTACTATAATTAAAAAAATAAAATTAGGTTAAGGGAGTAACATGACAAATTTGCAAATACTATAATATCCATGTACTAGCCTGTTAAAATCTTTGCCATTTTAAAATTCTATCATTTAATTGCAAATGTCTCCCTCCTTTTCAGAATGTTACCTTATGGTTGCCTGTCCATTGGGGACTGTGTGGGACTTATCGAGGTGGTGAGAAACTCTCACACTATCATGCAGATTCAGTGCAAGGGGGGCCTGAAAGGGGCGCTGCAGTTCAACAGCCACACGCTGCATCAGTGGCTCAAAGACAAGAACAAAGGAGAAATGTGAGTGTAGTATTCTTTGCTTCCTATTTAATCTAAGTTGTTGTTAGACAAGTTTTTTAATGGTTGAATATGCTTCTAAGTTAGACCAGAGAAAACAACTTACTTACTTAGGGCGGGGGGAAAATGTTCAACTTTGGACATATATGAGATTGTATTTAAATCATCAGAATTACTTATTACTTAGTGAAATCCTATACATTGAACATAGGTATCTGAAAGTTGTTTTCCTTATTGCTTATTCTTTTTTTAGAAAAATTAACATTGCAAATTAAAATTTTTACTTCTAGGTTATTATAGCAATTAAAAAATATTTTAATGGCATAATAAGTATTTTTTCACTGTAATAAGAATTATGCTTTGGTCTGAGAGTACCTGGAAATTCCTTAGAAACCTTTGAAAATTTCAGAATCTCAAAACTTCTCACTTCTTTGGACATAATTACTTCTTCCTTCTAATGTCAGTGATTGTTTTCATTGCTTTAATACAGACATTGACCATCTTTTCCCAATTTGGACTGGATCACTCTGTATTTCCACAGAACTTATAAAGAGTTTATTTCTTCTTTGTAGATACGATGCAGCCATTGATCTGTTTACACGTTCATGTGCTGGATATTGTGTCGCTACCTTCATTTTGGGAATTGGAGATCGTCACAATAGCAACATCATGGTTAAAGATGATGGACAAGTAATAGCTTTCTCTTTTCAACCGTTTTGGTGTTCTTAAACTTATTAATTCAGGATATTATATTTCTGCATTTATCAAACCATAACATAATTTTTTCTGTTTGAAAGCTGTTCCATATAGATTTTGGACACTTTTTGGATCACAAGAAGAAAAAATTTGGTTATAAACGAGAACGTGTGCCATTTGTTTTGACACAAGATTTCTTAATAGTGATTAGTAAAGGAGCCCAGGAATGCACCAAGACAAGAGAATTTGAGAGGTAAGCTCAAGAAATCAAAAGCACAAAATGAAGAATTCTTGCTGTTCTATCAAAGCAATTGATACTTTTCAATAAATATAAATAATAGATGTTATATTAACATTGGAGCATAAACAAACTGAATATTTTAATGTATTGGTTTTATTTATTGTATAATGCAGTGAAGAAAAAGAAAACAATTTAGTCAAAGTCTAAAAGGAAAATGATCTTTAAACTTCTTAATACATTAAGCTTTTACTTACTGTTCTTAAAATACTTAGACTTCACCTTCTCTATATTGACAAATAATGTATAGTATTTAAGACATTTTTTAGTCATGCAGTTTGAGGAATTCAGTCAACTGTAATTAACCATGCTTATTCATAATTTTTGTTATCACCTTACAATGTATATCAGTAGCCCATCTTAAACTTTAAAGTACTTTTAGAACCTTCTATAAAATTTTATTTCATCTATAACTCAGTCCTGGCCCTAGACTAAATCCTAAATGGATTGATTCATACATTTAATAAATCCTTATTAAACTCCTAATGTGCCAGACATTCTTGCAGGTACTAAAGATAAAGCAGTAAACAAAGCCCTTTTGGACTCATGAAGTTTGTATTCTAGTGTAGGATAAAGGGATTGAGGAGAGGAATGCTATTTTTTATAGGTTTGTCCAAGGAAGCCTCTCTAATGATGTGACATTTGAGCAGAGACTCGAAGCTATTAATGCCATTTGCTTCAAACTAACCAACTTGTTCTTATTACTTTTAGGTTTCAGGAGATGTGTTACAAAGCTTATCTAGCTATCCGGCAGCATGCCAATCTCTTCATAAATCTTTTCTCAATGATGCTTGGCTCTGGAATGCCAGAACTACAATCTTTTGATGATATTGCATACATTCGAAAGACCCTAGCTTTAGATAAAACTGAGCAAGAGGCTTTGGAATATTTCATGAAACAAATGAATGATGCACATCATGGTGGCTGGACAACAAAAATGGATTGGATCTTCCACACAATTAAGCAGCATGCTTTGAACTGAACGATAACTAAGAAATTGAAAGCTCAATATTGGATTCTAGTCTGCACTATTAATAACTGTCAACAGGCAAAGACTGATTGCATAGGAATTGCACAATCCATGAACAGCATTAGAATTTACAGCAAGAACAGAAATACAATACTATATAATTTAAATAATGCAAATGCAAACAGGGTTTGATAGCACTAAACTAGTTCGTTTCAAAATTAAGCTTTAGAATAATGCGCAATTTAATGTTATGCCTTAAGTCCAAAAAGGTAAACTTTGAAGATTGTTTGTATCTTTTTTTAAAAAACAAAACAAACAAAAAAAACACCCAAAATATATAGAAATGATGGAGAAGGAAAAAGAATGATGCTCTTTTTTGTCTTGCAAATGTTCTATGTTTTAAAATGTGGACATGCAAAGTCTTTTATTGCATTAGGTCCAGGTAAGCTGGAGTTTGATGTTAAATTACATTAAGATGGGAAATAATGAAATTTCTTTCTTTTTTTTTTTTCATTGCTGTTCAACTTAGAGTTTGAAGTGGGTTTTTGACTCCTTGTTTAATGAAGAAAAATGCTTGGAGTGGAAGGGACTCTTAAGATTTTCCAGAGACTTTTCTTTTTTAACAAATCAAACCTTTTGATGATTTAGGGTCTTGTCTTCAAAGTTTTGGAAGCAGTCACAAATGAGACCTGTTATAAGGTGACTTTTGGGGTTTTTTCTGGACAGTATTTACAAGAATCTGATTCTTATTTCCCAGCAAAATTCTGGGGGCCCATAAAATAAAATAATCATAGAGAAAGAATGAGCAGGAATAGTTCTTGCTTTAGAATTGTACAGTATTCACATTAAGTTTGTTTTTTTTTTCTCTTCCTTTTGCAATTGATGAATTGAATACATTTTTCATGCATGTTTTCCAGAAAAATAGAAGTGAGTATTAATGTTATTAAAAAGATTATTTTTTTTATTAAAAGCTATTTATATTATAGAAACTATCATTAATATATATTCTTTATTTCATGATCTGTCCCATAGTCATGCATTGTTTTGCACCCCAAATTTTTTTATTGTTCATATCAGCAATGGTCAGCTCTTCTCTTGGTCTTTGGAGAAGGCTCAGGCACTATCCCATTTATACCAATACTAGTGAATAACTAAAGAAAACAGAGTAAAGTTTATCCTTTTTTTTCCTTTCTCTTTTTACATGAATTGCCCATCTTGCATCCTCTTTTATAGTTCAGAATGCCTCAATCATATGAAATTAGTTACCAAAATTAATACAATTTAGAGTATCTTGTTGATTGCTTAAACCCTCTACAGAGATATGCTCATGAATAATACTTTATATTATGGGGAAATAGAAACCATGAACTTTTTACTATATTAGGCTATTTATCCAATATCTCATAATAAAAGCAGGATTATGTCCCATTTCCAAGTGGTCAGGGCTCACTCTCCAACTTTATTAAATTGCAGTTGAGCACAGGATACATTCTTAAACATTTTGAAAAACATTAACCTAAGATGTAGGGGCTAAGACTAGTCATCACTCCAGAATCTGATATTTTACTCAGTATTTGAAATGAATGATTAATTCCCTAGGAAATAGTTTTAGCAGATGTTCAGGTGCCACACCAGAAAAAGTGCAATAATTTACTGACAGTTTTCTAGATTAGGCATATTATTGGAATACAACTTTATAAAGAGCACACATTGTATACTCTAGTGAAAGAGCGTCACTAAAAAATCTTCACGTATGAAATCAGTTACCTATAGTCTTGAATAGTGAACAAGGACTCTAATACAAATACTCTTAATATTTGGCTATTTTAGAACCCTTAAAGGGCATAATTATTGGAGATTTAGGTACTTCACTAAGGCATGTATATAATATTGCCAACGGGAAAAATAAATTTGAAGATTAGGGGAACTTATTTCTCTAAACTGTCTTGGAATAGTTCAAAAGAATTTAAACTCTATTAAGCAGGAAACCAATCTATTATTTTGCAAAAGATTTCATAATTTATTAAAACTTCAGGATTCACATTTTGTGTCTTAGATTTGTTCAGTTATAATACATACTACCATCCCAGTCTTTTTGTGTTAGTTGATTACCGGAAAACTCAGTGAAATGATACAAATCTGAGACTCTGATGGTGGAAAGTGAAGTTTTAACAAAGAACCAACCATGTTTTACCTGAGTGCCAAAAAAGCTTTGAGCTTCCTTGCACAGAATTTATAGTTTTTGCTCTTTCCACATCAATTCAGTTAGTCCACTTTCCCTGGGACCTCTCCATCATTAAAACACATGCCACATACCATATTTTATCATTAACATTTATTTTCAAGAGTTATTCAACCAAATTAAATCTGTTTGAGAGGTATAAACAAATTTTATAAAGAATATTGATTAAGTGATCTAGCTAAAAGCAAAGTAAATATTAAACAAATCCAAGCAGAGTTTAAGCAAACAGCATTAAAAAAAAAAAAAAAAAAAAAAAGGGACAGGTGGTTCTCAGAAGACAAGGAACCAAAAACTGAATTAAAGGCTACATGGGAGACTAGGATATGTTTTAAATCATGACAATAGAGTCGCTTCCAGGTACTTTAGTATCAGAGATCAATTCCAATTGATCCCTTCCTTTGGCCAGCCATACGTCACTGAATGTGGTATAACTGACTATTGGCTCTACAGATTATTTGGTCATTTGAGCAATATTTCCTTCAATGACTATTTTGAAGGGGGAAGGAGCAGGTTTAAACAAAGTAAAACCTAATTTTAAACACATTCTAGCAAAAAAAAAAAAAAAGATCAACTGTTTGAAAATCATGCTTTAACTTTTTGTTATGTTCTCAACTATACAAAGTTGTGTATTTTAAAATTTTTTACACTGATGTTAATTTGAAATCTGTTAATCATATTGTGGAATTTGATGTGTTTTTTTAAAAGATGTTTCTAATTGGATTTTTTAATCAAGAATGGAATTTGGTCTCTATTTTCTGATAGAACCTAAGCTTTTTGTGGTTCTTAGTGTCCTGTGTAAAACTTAGTGTCAAAGTAATTAACTTTGAGGTTTTCCCTTCTACTCTGCTTTATATTACAAGCCCTTTAGGAAATGGAACCTGGTGAATATACAATGAATTGTAAAATATTTTAATGTGTAACTTTTTCAACTGTGAAACTATGACTATTGGTTTTTTGATGAAAATAACTGCTGATAAAGTATTTTGTGTAAAGTGTAGTTCTTATTAATCAGGAAAATAATCAATGTCTTGATTAGATTGTATATACCCTCTTGGATTTTATTTTAAGTGGATTGGTAATTTTCACATAGGTAAAAAAAACAAAAAACACAGTCCATCTGTATTCTTTTTTCCATCAAAAACTGCGTGATTTGACATTCTTAAAAATTATGAGCAGCCTATCTATTTTAAAGGCACCATGGAAATTTCACTGCATATAAACCTGGATTTGTTTCTTAATGATTTTGTAAATCCATTTAATTCATATCCTGGCTAATAGCCTATGCTTGCCAGCTCTTGGAAGAAATTTAATTTCTAGCATTAGTTTAAAGTCAGCAAGCTAACTTTTTGTGAATGTTAAAAAGTTCCTTTTGTTTCATTGCCTGCACCAACAGCAGACCTGGGCTGGACCCACACACTCAGAATCCACCTTAAAAAAATAATTTTGATGTCTAGGACATCACTATAGTATTTCATTTGAAAGGCCATATGTGGTGTTAATGGATTGCGGTGCTTCTATTTAAAAACAACTTTCATACTTCAGATGTGTTTGAGAAGAGGGGAGTGGGGAGGTATGCAAAACAGGGAGGCGTTGTTTGAATGAATTACATTCTTCATATCCTGCTCAGATGCGGCATGGAAGAAGGCTGAAAGTTGTGAGAATATATTGTGCATACCACAAGGGAATTAACTCTTCATCAAGGATGGGATTATGAAGGCTGAACTATAAGATTCAGCATTGCCAGGATACTCAGATAATCATTCTTGGTGACAGAATAATACAGCTGGGCTGTTTTTTTAAATATAAACACCATTTTTATTTTTTAATTATTGCATTAAAAATTGTAAATGAATCTTATGTGCCATGGCCTGGGAAGCCTTTTTTCTTTTCTAATAAACGTTATGTTCACTTTCATGAAAAGATTAGGGCTTAGCTCAAGATAACGGTGGTCCTGATAAAATTAGATTGGTAACTCTACCTCAGAAGGTTAATAAGGAAAAAAAAAGATGAGTCACAAATCAATACATTAAACTCTGATATTATCAAAATTTGCAGAGCACTGTATTTGAGATTTATAGTCAGAGTTGGCATGCCTCATTTTTTAATGGCGTTGGAGACATTAGGGGCAAAAATCTCAGTTAAAAATTTAATCCTTGCTCCAGCCATTTGGCAAAGACTATAGTGCTAGGAGGTTCATGGTACTAGGTTCTTGAATCTGATATTTAAAATTAGTTGTGTTCTCTTTTCTTAATTATTAGTGAAGTTAGTGTGTGTATATGTGCACACATTTCTGTTTGTATACACATTGCTTGCTAGTTCTAGTCAAGAGGCATCTTTTATAAAAGATGTAAACATCCAGGTTCTAAAATTCAGAAGAGTTTAGAATTTATTAGGAGTTTCCCAAGTTGGGATGGTAGTTTTTAAATAAGCTTATTTTATTCAAGTATTCCACTTGATTAAAGTATTGCACTTCTTTTCATCAATGCAGCGCCATTCCTTTTGCTTAGGTATGTTAATATTTTAGATATGTTAATATCACAGCCATGCTGGCTAGCATAAAGTGACAGTTATGAGCCATCAGGAAATCTGACTTAATTTTTACACAATTACATATAAATTTTAACAAGGAGGACATAAAACAATAAAAGCAGTTCCTTTTACATTTAGTATAGTTGGGTAACTGATTTTCACTACCAACTGTAGACTCCATTCCTCAAGTTGGTAAGTATGGAAAAGGGCTTTTTAAACGTATTTTGTAAGCTATTCAAGTCTATGAATCTATCTGAAATCATATTTAATCTGTCACGACAATAATGTGGTTATGCTAAGAGACATGTACATTTTTTAAGTGAAAAATTTTTGTTAATACTTCTAAGGAAGGAGGCAGAAAACCAACTTTGGTATTTTCTCAAAATATCTTTAATAAGACTGAACTCCTTAATTCTAGTGTAAATTTCCAAAAGTCATTATCTATTGATTTTGTAAGAAAAGGCTCCTTTCCAGATTTAATTTATGTTCCTATGAGTGGTAAGAGAAGTTGGCCTTCATCTGATTTCTAGGAGTGTTTTTGGTTATGGAACCTAAGTTTCAAATGCAATCAGTGGTTTAAATATGATTTCATCCTTGGACTTAAGTTGAATAAAACCTAAAAGAATGTGTCCTTTTGGAACATAACCCTTTAACATCTTGGGGAATGTAGCACTACAAAAAGAAGAAAACTATCAATAGCACACAAAATGTTGACTTTGGGAATTTTAAAAAGTAGCTCCCACCACCCTTTTTAGCCCCACTTACTGTAGCAAATCGATCTCTCTCTATTTTGTCATTCAATGAATTGAAGTCCTGTGGTATACTGCATTCGTTAGGAGAAAAATGTTTTTAAATGTTCTTTTAATGATGGCCCAAAAAGTATTTGACACAGCAAGATGCATGTGTTATTGTACTGAGAACATAGAATAATAGTGTCACTAAATTTAAGACCTCTTCCCAGTCCTGCTGTTCTGAGCAAGTAGCTCGGCCTGTGACTGCACTACTGTTTGTGCTCATCAGAAACTGTCAATGTCTGCTTTTCTTTACCTTCGTAGTCTGTAACATCACACTGTTTATTAAAAAAAAAAGAAAGAAAGAAAACGGCTTTGACTTGTGTCCACATAGTCCTTAGTGTTCTATATATTTTATATTCTAAACAAAAAAGTGTGGTAAGTATATTTTGCCATCTTTTGAGTGCTTAAAAGCAAACCAGTATTGCTAATAATGAAATTTTAGCTGAATTTGAGTTCTTGCCAATAATGACTGAGAAACATTTAAACTATTATGCCTTCAAAGACAATTTTTCTGCCCCAGTAAAGTGATGAATATTAGAGAAATATCTGTTTAAATATTAACTTCCTTTAAGCATAAAGAATTATATGCTTGTATTTTAAACAGAAATACATGTATACATATACATAAATGTATAAATGTGCTTGTATGTGTAAAAGGACTTTTTTTCAAGTCTCTTGAAGAACAGAACCTAGAAAGTAGGTTAAAAGCAAACTGGTTTTGCTTTTAGTTAATATAAGCATTGCAAAAGGTAAGTCTGAACTTTTCTTGCACCCATAATGCACATGGGCATTGACACTTAGAACTTCTAAACAATTAATAGCAAATAATTGCTTACATTTTGTTTATTTGCCAAGTGATTTTGAATTAATATTGTTCTAAGTTGACTTTGTTCTCCAAGCATAATGCCTTTTTCCTGAGATAGACCAAATAACCACTTTATCAATGGAAAACTGTAGGAATTCAAACACTTGAGGTTTCAACACTTTCACATACTCTAGAATTCAAGTGAGTGGTTTTTACTTTGTTAGGAGAAAAATCCCAAGAATTGCACATTGTTAGATGGGTGTCAAGCTTATTAAGAAATAGAATAGAACCCGGCCAGTGTGCCTTAGTGGTTATGAACCACTAGAACCCGGCCAGTGTGCCTTAGTGGTTATGAACCTTAGTGTGCCTATGAACCAGAAAGCCATGGTTTGATTCCCAGTCAGGGCAGAGCCCAGGTAATAAGCTTGATCTCGATCTCCAGTTTGGGTGTGTGCAGGAGGCAGCCAGTTAATGCTTCTCTGTCATTGTTTATGTTTCTATCTCTCCCTCCCTTTCCCTTTCTCTCTGAAATTTACAAATGGAATAGAGATGTGCCCTTCATTTAAGAAAACTACAGAAACTCAGCTTGAATATTTAAATATATAATTTCATTACAGGGAAGTCTGGTGTACAGAAGCCTTTAAACAGCACATTCTGGACCTTACATGCATATCATATTTAGCTAAGACATGGTGGGGAGGATCCTCTCAGAGCTTCCTACCCTGACCCCTATACCAGCTGTCCAATGAAAGGCACAGAGGCTGGCTGAATTCGTTTTATTTTTAATGAGAATTATATATATTTGAGGCTTACAATATAATGATTTGAAATACAGAGTGACATGATGACTACAAACTAATTAATGTATCACCTCACAGTTGCTGTGTATGTGATGAGAGCGCCTGAAATCTACTCTCAAATTTCCGGTACTCAATACACTATTAACTATAGCCATCGTGTATACTAAATCTCTAGGTTTATTGTTCATCTTGTAACTGAACATGTGTGCCCTTTAACCAACATCTCCCCATTTCCCCCATCTCCCTACTAATAACCATCATATTACTCTCTGTTTTTATGTATTTGACTTTAGAGTCCACACAAATGCAGTGGAACACAGTTTTTCCCTTTCTGTGCCTGACTTATTTTACTTAATATAATGTCTGCCAGGTTCATCTGTGTTGTTGCAAATAGCAGGATCTCCTTTTTTTATTTTAATCCTCACCCAAGGATATGTTTATTGACTTTTTAGAGAGAGAGAGAACATCAATAGGTTGTCTCCTATACATGTCCAACCGGGGACCAAACCTGCAACCTTTTGATGCACAAGACATTCCAACCAACTGAGCCACCTGGCTGGGCAAGATCTCCTTTTTGAAGACTGACTGATATTCCATTGCATGTACTTATACACGCATTATATATCACCACCATGTCTTTAGTCTGTTGATGGGCTTATAGGCTATCTCCATAGCTTGATTACTGTGAACAACGCCTCAGTGAACATAGGAGTGCAGGGATATCTTGGAGGTGCTGATTTCATTGCCTGTGGTATGTAGCCAGAAGAGGGATAGGGCTGGCTGAATATTGAAACTTAGCAAAAGATGGTTAAAATCTCCTAAAAATTTTAAGTGCCTCTACTAGTGCCAGAAACTAAGCTAGGTGTTTCATATACTCTATACTTTGTGTATCCCCTACAATAGCCCCATGAAAGAAAAGATGATCCCCATTTTAAAGATGGAAAGAGAGAGAGGCTCTAACAATTCAGCTGAATTGCCCAAAAATACATATTTGAAAAGTGGTGATTATGGCCTACAACTCAAATCACACACACAGACACATTCTCTCCACTATTCCACACTAGAAAGAGGAGATCGTACCAAAATTGTGCAAGTCAATATTGCTCAATTTTATTATTCAGTTTAGTAATTTATGACACAATTTATAAAAGGCATTAAATTGGCTTGAATCAAAGTTTTTTGTTTGACTGCATCTACATTAAAAAGGTTGCTTCAAAAGTCTCATTTTTCCTATTGTCCACCAAGTAAGATATTTTAATAAAATTTTATAGATACTTTAAGGCACATTGGTTTTCAGAACAAACTGTTTTCATCTCATATTCAGCTTGATCTGGAAAGTACCTGTTGGGAGGGTTTTGTGACATTATTTTATAACCCCATAGACTCATCGTTTAATATAAGGACCATTGTTGAGTAGCCACATGGGACTTTTCTGTGAGGGGGATTATCTGAGATGAATGCTAAATTCCATCCAGTACAACTTATCCCTGCTTCATGACAAATTTCTAGCCATCTCTTTCTCACCAGAATGTACACAAAGAATAAAATGAGCTTTCGGAAAGCATAATTAACTAAAAATTGTACCTGAAAGAAAAGTTAAAATGGTACATGATAAAGTTAAATATAAATAACTCTAAACTTAATGGATTTTCTAGGCAGTGGCTTCGCTCCTTTATCACGAATGGTGAAGTGAAATGGTAGGGCCACACTTTTGGGGATTACCAGATTACAATCTTCCTATAGTGAATGAACTATTCTTCACCAAGAATTTTTTTAATTAATTTTTTTAGATAAAGGGAGAGGGATAGAAAGTTAGAAACATCGATGAGAGAGAAACACTGATCAGGTGCCTTCTATACACCCCCCACTGAGGATGTGCCTGCAACCAAGGTACATGCCCTTGACCAGAATCAAACCTGAGACCCGTGAGTCCACAGGCTGACACTTTATCCACTGAGCCAAATGGGCTAGGGCTTCACCAAGAATCTTTTTGAGAAATGTTTTAACATGAATTGTATGGCATAGGACAAGGCTGGTCGACCAGTGCTCCATAGGTTAAATAGCCCCATTATTTATTTCCACATTGACAAGTTCTAAGTAGAGCTGAAATTAAGGACAGTTACCTTGAGCGCATTTTGCCATGTAGGAACAAGAAGTGCTTCATTGGCTCATGTGGGAAGAGATTTGGAGTAGAAAAAATGGTGATTTGTATGTATTTACAAAATAAATAAAATACATGGGAGACTCTTAAAAGTTTTTTCTTGCCTGGCTGTCATGGCTCAATAGTTGAGCATTGACCTATGAACCAAGAGGTCACAGTTCAATTCTGGGTTAGGGCACATGCCCTTGTTATGGACTCAGTCCCTAATAGTGGGTATGCAGGAGGCAGCCGATCAGTGATTCTCATCATTGATGTTTCTATCTCTCTCCGTCTCTGAAATCAATAAAAATATATTTTTAAAAAAGTTTTTTCTTTCCCATAGCATGCTTTACTGCCTCTTCATGGTTAATTTGTAACCAGGCATAATCAAGTCTTCACATGCAGAAACTATGGGTGTCTGAAGGCCAGGACTTCAGTTTGGCCACCATCCTAAGATTGCTCAGCTCCTTCGATGCTGTTCTGTATAAGGTGCTTTGCCACCTGCCTCATCTCTGAGTGCAGTGCTGTACTTCTCACACAAGAGGGACAGGTACTGTGTTAACCGCACCATACCAACAATCAGGGCGCCACCTAGCAGCGTCAGTGAAGGCCAGAGTAGACAGTGGAAGATAACCATTTGGTCATACTTTTTTATGAGAATGACATCTTCAGATTGGCTGCCTGGACTGTAGAAACATGAAAAGGGAGTCCCGTTTATGTGATCGAAGAATTCCTTTACGTCCAGAGCCCTGATGAGCAAGTCATTCCTGTCTCGGTGGCACTTGGGTGTGTAAAAGCACTAGGAATGTGGAGGAGGAAGAAAGATGAGAACACTCTTAGCAGTATCAAGCACCTAACAGTTTTCATTCTGAAATAGCTTGAAGCTATTTGGGAGTTTCCATCTCAAGGTGATGAAATCCACCACATAGCTCAGGGGGAAAGGTTGGCAGAGGGGCACCGAATGAAATGGCCATTAAGCAGGGGCATGAGGAAATATTCTTAGAGTCAAGACACTGCAGAAGAGACCATGGCCAACTTCAAAAGGACCACGCTCCTGACATGCAGGTCCTCAGCCTCTTCCTGGACAGTAACTCAATCCATTTGTCTATGTGCTTTCAACACCTATCAGTCCCTCTATTGTCTTTGTCTTGATGTCCTGTAGTAAAATATCTCCGTAAAGGATTAGCATATTGAAGCTTTAGTTTTGGGCCCACACAGCGGGGTCCCACCTGGGCTCTGTTTCCTGGGAGGCAGAGCCAGTGGATAAGGGACCTCTTTCTATTAGCTGATTTAAAAAAAAAAAAAAAAAAGATTGAGGTTTATTATCACATCCACTGGACACTCCAAGCATTGTGCCGATGGCCTTTGAAAATGTTTGAGATCATGCCAAAACCAGTTAGACTCAGTGGATAGAAAGGTCCACTGCGGACGGAAAGGTCCCAGATTCAATTCCAGTCAAGGGCATGTACTTTGGTTTCAGGCACATCCTCAGTGGGGGTGTGCAGGAGGCAGCTGATTGATGTTTCTAACTCTCTATCCCTCTCTCTTCCTCTCTAAAAAATCAACAAAATATATTTTTTAAATGTTTGCGACCTTAAAAATTATTACATTTGAGCCGAAACCGGTTTGGCTCAGTGGATAGAGCATCAGTCTGCGGACTGAAGGGTCCCAGGTTCGATTCTGGTCAAGGGCATGTACCTTGGTTGTGGGCACATCCCAAGTAGGGGATGTGCAGGAGGCAGCTGCTCGATATTTCTCTCTCATCAGTGTTTCTAACTCTCTATCTCTCTCCCTTCCTCTCTGTAAAAATTAATGAAATATATTTTTTTTAAAAATTATTACATCCGAAATAGAAAAGAAATCATCAGATTAAAATTAGTGATTAAACTGATTAAGTGAAGACAACAAAATGTAAGGTGTCAACTAATCTAATACAACTCAACTGTAATTGTTAGGTGTAAAGGTACACTTTAAATCATACGAACCAATTGAGCAACTTATTAAAATCAAAATTGTCCTGGCCAGTATTTCTCATTGGTTAGAGCATCAATCAGTCCATGCACCAAAGGGTTGAAGGTTTGATTTCCAATCAAGGGCACGTGCCTGGGTTGCAATTTTGATCCCCAGCTCTAATCAAAGCATGTGCTGGAGGCAATCCATGTGTCTCTCATCATTGTTTTTCTCCCTCTCTCTTTCTCTTCAACCCTCCCTTCCCCTTTCTAAAAAACAATGGGGAAAAAATATCTTCAGGTGAGTATTAACAAAAATAAATAAAATAAAATTTATAATAATCCTTTAAATTTCTCTGATAAGAAAAATTACTTGCACCTAGCCAGTGTGGCTCAGTGGTTCAGCATTGACCCATGAACCAGGAGGTCACAGTTTGATTCCTAGTCAGGGCACATGCCTGGGTTGCAGGCTTGATCCCCAGTGGGGGGTGTCAGGAGGTAGCCGATTGATGATTCTCATCATTGATGTTTCTATCTCTATCTCCCTCTTCCTTCCTTTCTTTTAAATAAAAACACATTTTTTCAAAGAAAAAATAACTTGCTTGATTTCAGATGGACTGTGAGAACCTTTTACCACTTTGATAGGATGGGGATGGGACCTCCAAAAGTAAATCTGCCCAGAAGTGACTCTGGTCATTGGCTCAGCCTATACATTTCAGACACCAGCTTATGAAATTAAAATTTCTCCCCTTCCTGTTTACCCCATTTTCCCTCCAAGAATGCTTTTTGCTTCATTTATTCTGATTTGACCACTATCAAAACATTCACTGGAAGGAAACAGATTTATCCCTAGAGGTGTCCCAGGGTACTGCACCCTGCTGGAGACAGTTCTGGCATGGGAGGGTTGCTGTGATGAGAACTTTTTCATTAGAACATCACCTTGGAATTGATCTGCACAGCCTCTTCATTGTAATGTAGGAGAGCTTTCTGGCCCGAATGGGTGAGGTTCACCAGCACCTGAAGACAGGGATATGTGCCCTGACCTTGGCAGGCCACACCACAGGTGAAAGCGCAGCCCATCCCGTCGTCTGTGATACGTGTGAGGACAATAGTGCAGTTCGCCTCTTCTCTCTGAGTGCTCCCATTTGAAAAAAATAAAATAAAATCATGATCTTCACCCTCTAGAAAACTTAGTTTTATGTTTCTAATGTGCTAACCTGAGGCATTTGTCTATTTTGAGGAAATGTAGGACTATCATAGAAAGCACACAATGAGGACACAGAGACGGAATAAATAGCAGCAAATTGCCAAGCCCCGTTTCAATTAGGACCCTCCTGGCATATTTCTCACTACACCAACCCTTAGATCTAAAGTTTTCAAACTTCAGAATCATCTGAGCGAGTTTGTTGGCATGAAGAGCTTGTTAAAATGTGGATTCCAGCCTGGCAGGTGTCGCTCAATGGTTGAGTGTCAACCTATGAACCAGGACGTCACAGTTCGATTCCCAGTCAGGGCATGTGTTTGGATTGAGGGCTCAATCCCCAATGTGGGGTGTGCAGGAGGCAACCAATCAATGATTCTCTCTCATCATTGATGTTTGTATGTCTCCCTTTCCCTTTCTCTCTGAAATAAAAGTATATTCTCTATTTCGTTCCCAGAGATTCAGGTTTAGTTGATCTGAGTTGAAGCCCAGAAATCTATTTAATAGATTTAAGATACATGTGTTTGGAGAACCATACTTTGATCAATATCACTCTAAGTACTATAACCAATAAGATCCACATCAGAAATCATATCATCTGCCATCTGCCCAACTGGTGTGGCTCAGTCAACCTAGATTCAATTCCTGGTCAGGACATAAGTCCGGTTGCTGGCTCAATCCCCAGTGTGGGCCTGCAGGAGGTAGCTGATCAGTGATTCTCATCATTGATGTTTTTATCTCTTTCTCTCTCCTCCCTGAAATCAATAAAAATATATTCAAAGAAATTATATCCTAATGCCTCCTCATCTTAAAATGCACCCTTTGGAAGAAGTCCAACCATAGGGCTCTTAGTCAACACAGCCTCCAAAAGTTCTGATAACGAAGTACAATTCCATTTACCTGCTCTGCTTCCAAAGAGGCAAATGCAAATCATGCAAGCAATCTCTCATTAGAAGCTCACTGTGTTTTTGCTGTCAGTAATTCCTTGAGGTCAGGACCTACCTGCTATTCATCTTTATGTTCCTCAAAGTCTAAAACACAATGCCTCTCGCATAGTAAAGGCTCAGTAAGTGCTGTGCTAAATTAAATTTTATTTGGAAAACATTCCTTGAGAATCTGGGTATGTGTGACAAACGCAGAATGTCATAGGTGCAATGAGAAGTGGTAGATACATTTCCATGAAGACCGAGGTAAGGTTGAAGAGAATATATGTATGAACTAAGTGGAGAACAAGTGAGGGTAAGAGGATGTGTTTTGAATATACAGGAGCAGTTCCTCATGCATTCTCACACTCACCTCCAGGTGGGTCCCTGTGTTTATCTCCTAGTGCCTTAATAACAAGAAGTTAGAATGGCAAACTTCTATATTTGAAAGGCATTGTTTAGCTAGCTGTATAGTGCACTCCCATTATGATCTTTGACTACCAATCATCATTTCGCTTTATCAATATAACAAACTTGAGACACATGGTGCAATTTAAAATGATCCTAAGGCCCAGGGAATTAAAAATAAATAAATAAATAAACAAAGCAAATAATTACTGCCAAAACCGGTTTGGCTCAGTGGATAGAGCGTCTGCCTGGGACTGAAAAATCCCGGGTTTGATTCCAGTCAAGGGCATGTACCTAGGTTGCGGGCACATCCCCAATAAGAGATGTATTATACAAGAGACAGCTGATCGATGATTCTCTCTCTGTTTCTAACTCTCCCTCTCCTTTCTTCTCTGTAAAAAATTCAATAAAATATATATTTTTTAAAATAACTAATTACTGAATGTAGCCTAGAACAGTAAAATATTGGGCAAGTGAAAATCCAAAAATGGGAAGTTTCTCTCACAGGTTTAGCATTGGCCTGCTTTTACACAAAATTAATTTCTATACTTATTTAGACAAGGTATCTTTAACTGCTTATAATTATTTGCTTATCTGTATTAGAACTTAAGCTCTCTAAATTCTCACTACATGACAGATAAAATATGATTTGAACCATCCTCAAAGATTTCAGTAAGCTCCAATATAGAAAGTGAGATATTCTTTCCTATGCATGAGCCCAGGTGGAACCAGGGGTGTATTTAAGACTGGGGGGAAAATTAGCCTGTTCTTTCAATAGCATTGTGTGTCTATTTGTCTACAAATAAACACAATCCATCATTTGATTGGCGAATGTGAGTACGAGGGAGTGGGCATAGGTGTATCTATCACCCTTTAGGGTGTGAAACTTAGGGTGGCACAAGTTTTCAAGGCAAGGGAGAGATAAACACTCCCTAAATTCCTTTAAACAATTTCCAGAAATGCTTAGGAAAGTAAATTTTAAATATGAGCAATAGCTTAGTGCCAATTTGCAGGTGGTATCTCAAACCAAATATATCACATTTTTTAACAATATTCTGACCTGCACACAAACACACACACACACACACACACACGTGCACACACACATATTTATTCCATTTACATAGATATTCCAGATATCTATGCAGATTAGATAGAAATTAGATGTGTAAGTAGATATAGAGTAACAGGAAAAGGAAAGTAGAAAACTAAAATGAAGTCAAGAATGAGGTGCAAACATGTGACCCGCATATCCTAAGAGTCCTTATAATTATGAGAAATGGACAAATTTGTCTTGCAGCTTCTTAGTAGCAAAAGCAACAAAGGAAACACAACCAGATATAGGCTGGCTGGTGTCTGTTGCATTAAAAAAAAAAAAAAAAAAAAGTAGGTTGACCAAGAGCAGAGCAGATTCTCTGGTGCTCAAACCAGGTAGAAAATCCCCCTGGAATCCTTCTAAGAATGGCACTGTACACTCCGATGGATGGTCACCTCCACCTTATTGCCCAAATAATGTTAACATTGGAATGGTAGGAGATGAATCTAAAAAATTCCTTTTCTGTGACCTCTTTTCACTGAACTTCTAGACCTGCCTTTTCCATTCCCCGTGGCCCTTGCATTCCCAGGGCTGCCCTCCCCCAAAGCACTCCATGTTATGTGAGCCATTCTCCACCTTCAAACAGCTCCGGGCCTGCCCTAATCAAAACACCCATCCTACCCCCGTCCCCTCATTGCAGCAAGCTTAAGTCTTAGGAGGTAAGAAGTCTTTATGTCAGAATGACAAGCAGATTCTTTCTTGGCTTAGTGGCCTTGGGCAAGTTACTTTGGCCTTTCTGAGCCTCAGCTTTTTCATTTATAAATTTAAAATAATGCTTCCTTCCATCATGGGTTTGCTCTAGCTTTAAATAGAATAAAACAGAATATTTGTCATATTCTAATATATAAAAACCCAGGATCTGTAACATCCAAAATGACTGAAGGCTCAACTGACCGGAAGTCAGTGCTGGGTTGCAGTGGTGACCCAGCACTGACTGCCGAAGGGGTTGCAGATCAGGCCCGAAGAGAGGCCTGGACAGAGAAGCAGCATCTGATCTGTAGCTTGGGTTAACCACCATCTTCTGGACATCAGACTTCCTTCTGGACAAAGCCATGGTGGTGGGGTCTGAGGCAGAGGCAGTTTGGGGTGAGATCAGGCCAGCAGAGGAAGGCAGTTGGGGGCGAGATCAGACCTTCCAGGAAGGGCAGTTGGGGTGAGATCAGGCTGGTAGGGGAGGACAGTTAGGGGTGATCAGGCAGGCAGAGGCAGTTAGAGTAATCTGGTCAGCATGGGGAGAGCAGTTAGGGGAAAGATCAGGGCAGGAGGGAAGGGTCATTGGGGGTGAGATCAGGCCAGCATGGGAGGGCAATTAGGAGTGATCAAGCAGACAGGCAGAAAGGTTAGGAGCAATCAGGCAGGCAGGCAGAGGGGTTAGGGGCAATCAGACAGGCAGGCAGAGACAGTTAGGGGCAATCAGTCAGGTGAGCAGTTGGGAGTCAGTGATCCCAGATTATGAGATTGATATCCAATTGGAGAGGGTGCAGGCTGGCTGAGGGATCCCCTCTCCCCCTCATGCACAAATTTCATGCACCGGGCCACTAGTCAGAAGGCCCTGATCAATCAGCCCAGATCACTGGCCAGACCTAGGGACTTTACCCATGCAAGAATTTTGTTCACCAGCCCTCTTAAATATTATATATTTAATAATGGTAACTATTATTACACATGCCTAATAAGGAAACTACTTAAAAGAAAGGAAAGGGAACTCATATTTATTGAGCAGCTACTATGTGCCAAGTAGACATTACCCAACTCAAAAAACTCAGACTCCAAAACTTCTATTGTGCTCATGTAGAAGGCTTAAGTTAAGCCTTCCCTGGAATATCTGCACAGTAAAGAAAGGATGTATTACCTATAAGACTATCTAATTTGTGGATTCGTTGTTGGAAGTATTTTTGAGGTTGGGATTGAGGAGCAGACAAGAAATGTCTTTCACTTTCTTACCACCTCTTGCTCCACACCCAGCTGCTTCTGAGCACAGACAGAAGAGCGAGTGAGTATGTCATCCCTGTCCTAGACCACTGTCAGAAGGGCTGCAGGAACCAACACCAGCCTCCCCTCTCCACCACTGTGCCTGCATCTGATTTGAACTGGAAATGCTGGGTCTGTCTTTCTCCGTTTCTTACCTGAGTACGAAAGGCTTTAGGATGGTTGTTCCAAAGAAGAAGAACATCAGAACCGAGAAGCCCATCATTGTGAACCCTAGCAGCATGGCTCGGTCCTCTCCAGCACTGGACGGCAGCTTCTCGTGCCCAGCTGGTGGGTCTCCACCATTGTGGTCTGTATTTCTCTTCCTCCCTGAGGTAGAAACAGCTGTCCTTTGGAGGAAGTGGGGAAGAGATAGTTCTAAAGAAGCAGTACATTTACCAACCCCTGGGGGCTAAAAGGTGGTAGAGGGGTGATCCCATTTGCTCCTCCCTAAGGGTTGTGAGCAGGTTCCATGCAATACAATGAGATCCTATGTTCAGAGCTTGGTAAAAAAAAAAAAAAAAAAAAAAAAAAAAAAAAAAAAAAGTTTATCTAAGCATGCAAAAATGGCCCTAGCCAGTTTGGCTCACTGGACAGAGCGTCGGCCTATGGACTGAAGGTCCAGGGTTCAATTCTGGCTAAGGGCTCCATCTCCAGTGGGGGGTGTGCAGGAGGCAGCTGATCAATCAGTGGCTCTCTCTCATCATTGATGTTTCTATCTCTCTCTCTCCTTCCCCCTTCTTCTCTAAAAAAAAAAAAAAATCAATAAAAATATGTTTTTAAAAAATAAATAAACATGCTAAAATGGTGTGTGATAATTTTTTTTCTTGAATGTAGCAAACAAAACTAAGGAATGCTAGAAGTCTTCGGAGACCTGATTAATCAATGGCTAGAAAGGAATTACCTGTAAAAGTAGCTTTTGTTTTATGTAAGGAAATGTTATGAACTTGCTCATTTTGGGGGATTATTGCACATTCCCCCTGAAAATATCTGTTTGCATCACAAGGTCCACATTCCTCCCTATGAACAGCCAGTCACAAGCAGAGGCTGCCCCTGTGGACAGGAGCCTGTTCTCCCGTTTGCCTTAGTCCCACCACTTCCTGTGAACCGTGTCCTTGACTAGCTGTTCCCTCTCACGAAGCAGTTGAGTCCCAGAGGTAATTCCATTTTAAGGGGCCTAACAAAATTTCAAGCTAAACGAAGGCAGCCATAATGGCAGAGATTCAGGCTCCATGGAATATATATTCTTCTCAAACATATATGGAACATTTATGAGACCTAACCACCAACTGAGCCATAAAGAAAGCCTCAACAAATGTCAAAGAATTTGAGAAAGTAATGTACTTTTTGTGTTTGTTTTATAAAATTGAAAAAATAGAAAATAAAAACCACCCACAATTCTACTACTTAGAGATAATAGCTTAATGGGCTAGTCCTGTCCTCTATATTATTTTTAAACACTAGGGGGGAAAAAATTTTAATCTTGTCTTTTTCACTTAATGTAATAATATGTCAGCAGCAATGCTTTGTAACTCTTCTATTGGCTACATAATAATATTCCAACAATTGCCATAATTTTGTTGTTGTCGTTAATCTTCACCCAAGGATATTTTTTTTCCCATGGATTTTTAGATAGAGTGACAGGAAGAGAGGCGGGGTAGAGAGAGAAAGATTGATGTGAGAGAGATACATCAACTTGTGCCCTGACCATGGCCAGGGAGTGAACCCACAACCCAGGTCTATGCCCTTGACCTAGAATCAAACCTGCAACCCTTTGGTTCTCAGGCCAACACTCTAACCACTTAACAAGGACCCCACGTTTTCCTCAGTCATTTCCTTATTGTTGAATATGATTTCTGAGATCATAAACAGCCCTGTAATTAATGTTGTGGTATTATAAGCACCTTTCATCCAAGGACCTCAAAGCACTTAAGAATGATCTAATGTTGCTTTGTAGCCAGAGATGAGTAAACAGAACTTTTTTTTTTTTTTTTTTTTGCCAGCAAGCAATACACATCCACTTGTAACCAGAGTGTTACCAGGGGATGTTTTGTTCAGTCGAGGCAGTACCCACCCCCATTCTGCTGTCTCCCCTGCAGACAGACCTGACTTTCACACTCCCCATACTACAGATGCCTTCTGGCTTAGCCTGAAGCGAACTCGATTTCAAAGCCCTTGAGCATGCTCATTTGGCTGGAATCCTTGCAGATGCCAACAGCCTCTCCCTCCAACACTCTAACTTGTGCAAAAACGTGCTCCTTAGAAAGAAGCTGTGGTTCCTCAAAGCTTGCTAATTCATCTGATACTAGTTTCACATGTGTTTGGAATTTCTTAGCATTGTGCTATGTTAAAGTAATATTTCCCTGAAGTTTGTTTATGTTGCCGAAGAGATTTGGGTCATTGTTTTTACCCTTCTATTTCTGTAATTATTTAACAACTTTTTTTGATACAGGAAATGAGGTTAAGTCCACATGGTCCATCGAGTTTGGTAAGAGGAGAGAGCAATAATCCAATTGTGCATAATTGTGCATTTCAGAAGTGAATATAGGATGCTATGTTGCTTTGGGAAGAACACAACTGCTCTTCTATCCGGTTAATTATGTTAAGAACTTGTTCCATTGCTAGTTTGCCATTTGATCTTCTGCCATACAGTGATTTGCTTTGTCTTTTTTCAAAAGCATTCATTCATTTCTAAGAGACAAGTGTTTTTGCATCTGTCTCTTTCCTCTTTGGTTCTGTCTTCCTTCCTCCCCAACCTCCCACATCCGTCAAACCCCTATTTCTCACTCTCCTGCATTCTGTCTCTCAAATACCCATGAGTGTAATGGAGTGTAATACCCACCTCCATTAAAGAGTGATGGAGGTGGGTAATGTGATGACTGGGGTGATCTTTACTGTTTCCAACTCCACTTCAGCCACTGACAAATCACCCAGGTTTTTGATAGAGTGAAATGGACCCCTCCCAGGAGGAGGCTGGAAAGCTCTTAATATCCCATTCCTCAAATACTCTCAGGCATTGCTCTTCTCGAAACTTTGGTGCCCACTTCTGATTTCCCCCTGCCCCAAACCCAGGCCCAGGCAGAGGGAGTGAAACCTAAGACTCTCAGCCCCTCTGCTTTGCATTCCCCTGGGGAGAAAAGAGGTCCTCAGGTTACCTTACATATCTCAGCTTCTCCCTTAAGAAGTGCCCTGGCTCTGGCCAGGCTTTCTCAGAGGTTAGAGCATCGACCCATGAACTAAAGGGTCTCTGAGTTGATTCTCCGGCACATATCGTGGTTGCAGGTTCCCAGCCCTGATAGGGACACATTCGGGGAGCATGTTTCCCTCTCTTTTCCTCCTCTCTCCCACTCTTTCTAGAAATCAGTGGGAAAAGAACCCTTGGGTGAGGGTCAGAAAGAAAGAAAGAAAGAAAGAAAGAAAGAAAGAAAGAAAGAAAGAAAGAAAGAAAGAAAGAAAGAAAGAAAGAAAGAAAGAAAGAAAGAAAGAAAGAAAGAAAGAAAGAAAAGTCCTGGCCAGTGTGGCTCAGCTGGTTGAGAGCCTTCCTGCATACTGAAAGGTTTCTAGTTCAGTTCCTAGTCAGGATACATATCCAGGTTGCAGGCTTGATTCTCTGGTTGGAGGCTTGCAATCCAAGTTTCACTCTCACATTGCTGTCTCTCTCTCTCTCTCTCTCTCTCTCTCTCTCTCTCTCTCTCTCTCTCTCTCTCCTCTCTCTGCCTTTCTCTTTCGCTAAATAAATCAATTTAAAAATCTTTAAAGAAGTAAGTTATCTCACTTCCCCCCTGAAGGTGGTTAATTACAATGGCTTAAAGTATAGACAGTATGCTGGCATCATGTAGGAGCATGCTAAGGCATGCAACGACTATTACTATCCCCTATCACTATTCCCATCTCATCGACAGGGCGATGAGGCAAGAGAGAAATTAAGAGACTAGCCCAGACATCACAATCGTCCAGCTGGTTAAGTGGTGGAGCTGGAGGGGTTTGGGATTTGGACCCAGGCCTGTGACTCCAAGGCTGAAGCATGCTTCAACCACGGGACCAAATGCCGGCAGTCCTTTCTCATTCCTTCACTCAACCGAGCACCACCTCTGTGCTGGGCCACGACCTAGAGCTGGGGAGCCAGAGGTGACTTTACAAGGGCCCTGGCCTCCAAGGACTTGCAACCTGAAGGAGGAAGCTCAGGAGCACAGATGCAGCCCACATTAGTCAACGCTGCCGGGAAAGCCTCCAGGGTTCCCTGGGAAGCACAAGTGGGCACCCTCGGATCGAGGACGCACCCAGACCGGCCACTTGTTCAGCGAGGTCCCCACGCCGGTGCGGGAGAGCCTGGTGGTGACTTACCTTCCCTGGCGCCGCTGGCTGCCCTGGAGTGTGATCTGAACGGGGATGCTGAAGGGCTGCATGAGGCCACGGGGCTGGGCAGCCTGGGCTCCTTTCACCTGCCTCATCGCCTCTGAGGCCACAGGAGGAGCGATGCGTCAGCATCAGCGGAAGTGGGGTCCCAGAGGGAGTCCGCAGTCCCCGCTCGGACACCCATGGAGAGCACCCCGCCTCCAAAGCTGCCACCTGGTGGTGTGCGGTGCCCACTTTCCTGGACACGTGGGAAGTGAGAGCAGGCCTGCCAGGGGCTCTGCAGATTGCGGACAAGGCTGAGCAGCCGGTTCCAGAAGCTCAAGACCCTGCAGGGGTTTCCTGCAGGCAGACCTGCTCCCCGAGTCTCCGCGTGCCTGCCTCCCTCCGCCTTGGCACCTGGGTTCCGGTTCAGCCGCCAGGCGCATCGCCATAGAGACCCATCCGCTAGCGCCAAGTTCTGAGACCCTAGGGACCCTAGGTAAATTGGTGAGGGACCAACTCAGTTCAAGGTTTATAAAAAGAGGAAATGTTTTGCTCTGGCCACGTTTCCTCTTTCACAAAGTGTTAGAATGCAATATGAGAGAATGGACTTTTCTGGTGAATGCATGCTCTGATAAAGAGAATGCTTCCATACCATATGTGATTTCCCAAATTTTCAGGACCCAAAGGACCATAAAATGACTCACCATTAAAACTATTTTATGCCGAAACCAGTTTGGCTCAGTGGATAGAGCATTATCCTGCGGACTGAAAGATCCCAGGTTCGATTTTGGTCAAGGGCAAGTACCTTGGTTGCGGGCTCATCCCCAACAGGAGGTGTGTAGGAGTTAGTTGATCCATGTTTCTCTCTCATCGAAGTTTCTAACTCTCTATCCCTCTCCCTTCCTCTCTGTAAAAAAAAAAAAAAAAAAAAAAAAAAAAAAAAAAAAAAAAAAAAAAAAAAAAAATCAATAAAATATATTTTTTAAAATAAAATAAAATAAAATAAATAAAACTATTTCATGCCCTGGCAGGTTTGGATCAATGGATAGAGCACCAGCCTGCAAACTGAAAGGTCCTGGGTTTGATTCCAGTCAAGGGCACTTGCCCCAGTTTCAGGCTTGATCCCTAGTAGGGGTCATGCAAGAGGCAGCCGATCAATGATTCTCATCATTGATGTTTCTATCTCTCTCTCCCTCTCCCTTCCCATCTAAAATCAATAAAAATATATTTTTTAAAAATATTTCAAAGGTTAAAATATCATTATATCTTTCTTTGATTACCTAAAAGGCATTTGGGGATCTTTTAATAACCCCCAAATTATAAACATCAATTATCATTATACTAGAGGCCCAGTGCATGAAGATTCATGCACTGGAGGGAGGGGTCCCTCAGCCTGGCCTGCCCCCTCTCATAGTCTGGGAGCCCTCAGGGGTGGGAGGTGACCCGGAGATCAGGGGAAGGTGATGCCTCATTACACCTCTACTGCTGCCACTGCTGGCAGCTCAAGCCTTCGGCAGCCCTGAGCGGCTGGGTCACCACCAACCAAGGCTTGCCTGCACCTCAGGCCAGCCCTGGGTGGCTGGGTGGCCTAGGGGACTGAGGGACTCAGAAGGCAAGTGCGCAGAGCAGCTGGACCTGCCTGGAGGTGGGCCTGGCCTTGCTGAGTGCCTGCCACCCAGGCAGAGCTGAGGGGACTGGGCGCCACCATCTTTGGTTGTGGGCACCACCATTTTTTTCCTATTAAGAGGTAGGGACTAGGTCCTTGGTAAACTATTTGTTTTTAATGAAATTTAGAATAAGAATTGTATTTTGGAATAAAAACTGATAGCAACCAGAATTTTTTGCCTCTGCCTGCTGCTTATAACTTAGCATTGTGAATATATAATAACTGTTTTTCATATTTGGATGTGCTAATAAATTCCTCTGCAATTTGGCATGTAACTCTGTCTGAAGAAATTAATGATTTGCTGCTATTTTTATATATTTGATTTAACCTCAGAAATATAATAATTTTTGAACCTGTGAGACCCCCTATTTGACACTCAGAATTTGCACCTGCCTTTACTGGGGCTTCTGGTAATTCCCCTCCTTTTTTTTTTTTTTTTTTTTGTTGTTGTTTTTGTTTTGTTTTGTTTTGTTACTCTTTCCCTAAGGATATTTTTCCCATTGCTTTTTCAGAGAGTGGAAGGGAGGGAGGGGGGAGAGAGGAAGAAAGAAACATCGATGTGAGAGAAATACACCAACTGATTGCCTCCTACACACATCCTGACTGAGGGTGGGGAGCAAACCCACAACTAAAATTTGTGCCCTTGACCATGAATCAAACCTGTGACCCTTCCAAGTGTAGACTGATGCTCTAACCACTGAGGAACACCTGCCTGGGCTCATTCCCCTTTTTTAATTCTAATTCCATTTATGTAAAAATATTCATGCACCATCTTTAAAAATTCACCTTAAGAAAATATGGACAAAAATGAGTTATGGGGAGAAACCAAGATGGCAACATAGGTAAACACCTGAACTGCTGCCTCGCACAACAATTTCAAAACTACAACTAAAATACAAAACAGATATCACCCAGAACCACAGGAAGGCTGGCTGAGTGGAAATTCTACAACTAGAAGGAAAGAGAAAAGCACACTGAGACTTAGAGGAGTTGCGGAAGTGCAGAGGTATGAAGGCGCACACGGAGAGGGCTGGCAACTGAGTATGCGGCTGGCTTTTTCAAGCAGGAGGGAGACAAAAGCTCCCGACTGCTCTGAACTCAAGTCCTGGGCAAGACTTTGGGGATCCAAACTCATATAGGGAGAAATTGGACTGTCTGGCAGCAGGTGAAACTCAAGGGCTGAGAGAGAGATAACAATGACTGAAAACTTCCCCCACCTGGTAAAAGAAATAGATTTACAAGTACAGGAAGTACACAGAACCCCAAACAAAAGGAATCCAAAGAGGACCACACCAATACACTTCATAATTAAAATTCCAAGAGCAAAAAACAAAGAGAAAATATTAAAAGCAGCAAGAGAAAAACAGTTACCTATAAGGGAGCACCCATACGATTGTCAGCTGATTTCTCAACAGAAACTATGTAGGCCAGAAGGGAGTGGCAAGAAATATTCAAAGTGATGAATAGCAAGGACCTACAACCAAGATTATTCTACCCAACAAAGCTATCATTCGAAATAGAAGGCTAGATAAAGAGCTTCACAGATAAGAAAAAGCTAAAGGAGTTCATCACCACCAAACCAGTATTATATGAAACGCTGAAAGGTATTCTTTAAGAAGACGAAGAAGAAAAAGGTAAAGATAAAAATTATGATCAACAAATACATATCTATCAAAAAGTGAATCTAAAAATTAAGTGAATAAAAAATCTGATGAACAGAATAAATTCTTGACTATAATAGAATCACAGGCATAGAAAGGGAGTGGACTGACAATTCTTGGGGGGAAAGGGGTGTTGGGGGTGTGGGAAGAGACTGGACAAAAATCATACACCTATCGATGAGAACAGTGTTGGGGCAGAGGTAAGGGAATGGGATGGGGTGGGAACCGGGTGGAGGGGAGCTATGGGGGGAAAAGAGGAACAATTGTAATAATCTGAACAATAAATATTTTTTTAAGTGAGTTACTTTAAATTTACTTTTAGTCTCAATTCAAAAGTTTTGATAGGCCCAAATAGGTTTATTTTGGGTCCCGGACAAGTCTGTCCCTGGATATGCTCAGGTATAGCCATCCCAATGGGCCATCTAAAATTGATCTCAGACCTAGCCTGTGCTTTGTTTTTTTTCCTTCTTTTTAAAGAGGGCCAAGACAGCAAGTGCGAAAGAATAACATAACCTGTTGCCCTTTAGTTTTCTCCCTGATGCCCCTTCACTTGATAACTGACTAGCCTCTCTGTTCACCAATACCAGACCATCCTTTGTGCCCCTGGAGCAATGTCCCATTCACACATAGACTCCTCTCAAGCCTCGCACTCAAGAAGACCTAGAGTGGTTGGTATAAATTGCAATACCACGTGTCCATTCAGGAACATGGCAAGCTAAGACAGTCGTGTGGTGGTAAGAGACACCAGGTACTTGTACCGTCACTGTATGTCAGGATCTCTGGTTCCCACTCTTGGTCCCCTAGACCCTCCCTGAACTCCTAGCTTATTCCTTCCTCTCAGAATTGGTAGAGAACATTTCCTGCTCCACAGAACATCAGCCAGAAGTCAACTGTCAGCCACTATGTGTGTTCCCTCCCTCCCTGGGCTGGAGTCTTTGGGTGCTGGGTTCAAATCCCAGCTTTGTAACTTCAAGTAATTCTGTAAAGATTCTCTGCCCTAGTTTTCCTCAGTAAAAATGGAATAAATAAAACTCAGTGTGAGTTTTGGTGAGTATGGTGAAATTTAATTAGTGCCCATAAACTGCTGTGAGATTTATAGATGAAAGAGGATATTATTGCAAGATGCTGGCATTATGAATTCCCAACTCCACGGTCCAGAATATTTCTTTTTTCAGATGCTTTACTCAAGAGAAAAAAGAACCATTTTTCCCTTTAATCATGCTGGAGAAATTACTTTTTTTTTTCATTCTCTCAAATTACATGCTCCTATTACAGCTAAGAATTCTTTTGTAGCAAAAATTCTCCGTGTTCATGAGAACTATACTTCTCTTTCCAAGTTCAGAGATGCACAACTCATTTATAACAACCAAAAAAGGCTATAACAGCCTATGTTACTTGAATGTCTATGTATTTGTGTGTTGGAGAATAAATAAGCCCCTAACTGAACCATCATCTCAGCATGAGTAGTTTTTATTGATGTAAACAAACATTAAAACTGACCAAAGTGAAGTCATATCTGATCTTACATTCTCTTTGCAGGGGGAACAACAGCAAGGGAGTATGATCTGTGCCACCCACTTGTGGAGTCTTAGATGGGATCTTCCTTGTGTTGTTGTTGTTTTGTTTTGTTTTGTTTTGTTTTGTTTTGTTTTGTTTTTAATCTTAATGACTATCTCCAGCCACCTCTGCTAACCAAATTGACACTGGCATGAGTTAGAAAATCCCATATCACCTCCCTGCA